ATTTAATAATATATCAAAACATCGCTCGGTTGTTGGGTTTCTATCCTGAATCAGAAAGGGAATTTGGTAACATCCTAAGCCAGATACGTGTGTTCCACAGAATACTTGTGTGTTATCAACAGCGATGTAGGCAGATCTTATGTAAAATTCCGATTATTCCCCAATATGTTTTATGGATTGTCGTCGGTCATTATGGTCACTTCCTCTGACTAGGTATTGGCTACCACGTTAAATCATATCTTCCTGAATGAGTCAACTAATTAGATAAATTGTTAAAACAGAAGGGCATTTACAAATTGCGGTGGTCAGAAGCGTTAGCCGACAGACAATACGTTTTAATGTAGCTTACAATACGGATTTGTAAAAGGAAAAGTCGCTTATTGGCTAACCTTAGGAAAGAGGCCTGTAGATCACGTTGGTTTATTATTGTTGTTTCAGGGTTACAACAAAATTGATCATTAATATAGGACCAACAACTTTTAACTTTTTACAAGATAACTATAGCAGTGCTTTTTGAAGGCCATTACTATTTTATTTTTATTTTATGTGATGTTTTCCGAAAGTCCGTGAAGCTCATCGAATGCGACAGCTGGATCCCAGATATCGACTGAGTTTGCGCAGATGAAGTTGAACATATTTTTCTATTTTCTTTCCATAATGCCATATTTCACGGGCCATAAGATGCACTCTAAATTCCATTTCCCTCAAAAATCGTTCGTGCGCGAAATTTATGGATCTGATAGTGCTTTATGACATATTGCACGCACTTGAAACCAGTACCAGTTTTATGAACAAACCGCCATTTTCTTCGAAAATAATACAATAGCCATAAAAATATAAGATTTTTAGTGTTTACTGTGGTTTGTACTGTAACCCTATTGCATCTTATATTCCGGTGCGCCTATATATAGACAAAACCCCAAACTATGCCATTTATTGACGATGCGCCTTATAACCATGTGCGGCTTATAGTCCGTAACATACGGTAGCATCTATGATCTATATCAGGGGTTCCCAACTTTTTTATCTCAATTTCCCACTTTCGATTAGGCTGAGTTGTTATTTCCCATTACATATGGACTTATTTAAAAAGAATAATTTTCCTGTCAATAATAATTGGTATGACTTTCTATGATATAGGCTTGCAATTGGTGTAGAGGTTGAAACCCCATGAGAACATTCATTGCGCCGTCTAGCATCCCAAGACAGTGACGATCCGTGTAGAGAAAATCAGTTTTATCCATCGAAAAGAACAATTCAACGCTTAAAATTCCAAAAAACGCATCAAAGTTTTCATCACATTACACCGTCCATATCAATTTTGCTGTTTTTTTACATGATAGACCGGAAGTCTGAATCTATTTTTGATAATGCGCATTGCTATTGGACAAGGAGATCCGTTCATCTTTGACGGCGCAGACTTACTCGGCAGAATATCATCACACTCTACGAGACAAAGTTTTATTTATGTCCCACCGATGTTATGAAACTTTTGGTTCTTGCTATTCGCAGGACATCTACAAATGACGCAGTTGATATCACCTTTGAACTCATTTGAAATTGCCCATGTTGTCGAATCTTATCCTGCTTTTATTTTGCAATTTTTTTAGCAAACTGATAAGCAAATGGGTATTTGAAATATGTTGCTTCATTTCATGGGGCTACATAGAACCATTGGAGATGGTCTTAGTGCAAAAAACTCATTGCGGCATTTGCTCAAAAATTTTCGTTAAAAACGTGGAGTGTCGCCGAGATATGATCGTAAATATATACTACTACTATGAATATATACTATATACTACTATGATCGTACTTTATTTTCACATAAGCCATTACCTTTTATTAACAATTTAGCAGAATGGAGGAACGGGTCAAATATTTGTTCATCAGAGCGCGTGCCTACCCAATATCTCAGAGACAATTGAATAAAAACTGCTCTCTTGTGCGGCTCTGCAACGAAAATCTTTTTGCGTAACGTTTAAAGCATTGGTGTTCGTTCGAGACATGCCTGTGAGGTTGTAATCGGCCGACCAAAGATCAAAATGAGTTGCGTAGCACGATCAGAATATCATGCCCAACAATGTGATATTTTACTAAAGTTTTGTTTAATTGAATGGGAATCTTTTTCCGCTTCATGGCATATATTGTGATTTCCATCGTGTAATATTTAAGAATTGTGTTGTTGTGCGTACTTTTTTAGAGAAGCATTCAATTCCCCACCTGCAACCTCCAATTAAGTATACTAACATTAACATGGGAACCACTGATATATATAGTCAGTCAATAATGTTTATGTTAGTATACTTAATCAAATTTCAAACTTATGTATAGTCAAATTTACATTTTTGACATGAAAATCTCGCACACTTCACCAGTATTTTTACCATTACTGCGCCACCATATTGACATTGACTCTTATAGATCGCCACGTCCCTTATGGTTGTAATAAACGGATCAGGCAAAGATAATTTAAAAAATTTGTGATCGAAACATTGTACTGTACTTTTAGGCTTTTGCATAGAGTATTGTTGGGACCAAAGCACGTATCGTAGATTTACATTTTGTTAAACCAACAACTAAAGAACAAATTTAATATCGATTAATTTAGTTACTGATGTTTTACTGAACCAATTATCACAATTACGATTGACATCAATGCATACGCAATACACCTAGAACGTGAAATGTCATGAATTTGTAAAATTATTACAAAGCAAAAAAGTAACAATTCTCTGCATATGTTGAAGCGTAATGCTTTGACATCTGGTTCTAATTTGGCGAAAAGGGCGAAATATATGAACGAATAATCCGCGTTGCAATTGTTAATTAATTTCATATTACTATGAAAAATACTCGGCGAATTAACTTTCATGTACCTGTAATTGTAATTAGTTGTTGCTGAGATCATCACATCTTTTAACGACAACGGTGCAGCTACAAATAATCTTTTCTCGTTGAATTTCCATTTATAGTGTATATATAAATTGCAATCTTCGCGTGATTCGGTAAATAATAAAGGGGATGACTATAGAATATCAGTTAGCCTACTGGGTGAGTTTCGATAATAGCTTCAGAGCTGCCCAAAACGACAGGAAATTGGTTGGACGACAATACGTTGTAGAATGGTGTACTATTACATGATATTCCTGCAACAAGTCTGTGAATGTAAGATATTAGCAACTACTATTCATTACGCATAAAAAGAAGGATAGATAGATAACACCAGTGTCCATTTTAGTTGTCTTCTCAATAGTGGGGGATATTGGGGTGTAATGAAGCAGTGTCATAAATTGTCGTGCATATGCTAAAGCCGTATATATAGTAATATATGCTGGAATATATTGCTTATATTTAGAAAATTTCTTGGTCAGTCGGTTACTTGCATTTATATCTTTGCTTTGGTCTGCAACTATAAATGATGGAGGTGTTTAGGTAATCTTATCTTCTACTTATTTGCAGATTTTATTGTGTATCGTATAAATTGGAATCGAAAGATACATAAGATTGTACTTTAGGAAAATGATAAGTTAAGAACGCTGACTAAAATGACATATTTTTAATATTTTCATGCTAGCACTAGCAATAAATAAAATGTTTCGACGTCAAAATTTAGGAATAACATCATGATAATAAAGTATTTTTAGGTGTTTGACATTTTAATTACGTTTTATATGTCAATTTCGCATAACGAAAATTATCCGTTTTATTATTTGAAAAAATATTCAACCAATTATTAACACGTAATCATCCCTGAAATATAATAAATAATGACTTGCTTTGTCGAACGGAAATTCAAAAAGCAGATGACCAATTGCTCATAATGATTCAGGTAATCTATAGTTCTATACCTAGGGAAATGATCGAAAATATTAGTGCGTTCCGGTACCTGGTACGTTTCATCATCGTAAAGCAATGTCGCTAAACCAGGATATAGCTTTAGTCAGATGACAGGGAAGGTGGAATTATGAGATATACTCAGTGTATTTCCAAAATTTTGACTTTGAGGTGGAGATATTTCAATCATATAAATATGAAATATGTGGCTTTAGATCATTATGAATTATATAATTGCAATATTAAGTCTATGCATCTGAAACAAATAACTGTCTAACTAATCCTATACCCAACATGGACATGCAACCGGACGAGAGATGCCTCATCTTTAAGCCCTTTTATCGCCTTTCCTCTATCTCGGGATAAAAACTTCTTATGCCTAATATATTAAGTGTTGACTTTCATATAGACTTATAAATAGAAATATCAATAAATCAGAAAAAAAGCAATCGAACTATATTTGTTCAATATGCACTTGATTGTGGGTCGTCGTGCCATGATTCGCGCTAGAGAGATATATTGCACCACGATGACTGTTGACTATAGTAAATATTTCCGCTTAATTTCCAACAAGCTGAATTTAATGCGAGGAAGTGCTCGATCAATTTGGAAACAGACAGCCAAGTACGAGGAAAATTTCTCTAAACATGGGCACCTAAATTATTGTTTAAAGGTACAAATTTTTCAAAAAGAGGCAAATTTCAAAATTGACGACAACATACAATTTTGGGACAATTTACCAAAAATGTATAAACAAATTTCAAATTGACAGGTCGTTGAATGCATGCAATGTTTTGGCATAAACTCGCACTAGCATCCACGTGCTTCATTTGTGACTGGATATTACCAATTTCCTCAATTGGGACCATCATGCAATATAACGATGGTTCAAATAAAATGAAAAAATTCAATTGTGGCAACTATTCTGTTCATTGCCTGGACATTTTTACATCATTACAGCGATAGAAAACATGCAGGGTTTCAGTTTATTTTCAGAAATACCATTTGCAATTCTCCCACTTTATATAGGTTTTGTAACAAATACCTACTTACAAGCAGTTGACTTCAAAGCACCTGGTAGCGTGTTTTACCAGTAAGTACTAGTAGTTAAACTTATATATCAAGTAAGCTGTTTGATCATAGTTCATTGTTATGATTTTTTCAGAAATATTTACTTATATATTATAGTCTTCATTACTTGGAATATATCAAGAAAAATTTTCACTATCAGGCAAGAAAAGGTGCTCTATAGTTTTGAAAACAGTGTGGGAGTTTTCAGACTATATAAACTGTTATATACATTAGTATCACAATGAGAAAAGTTATGACAATCTTACGTAACTGCTTCGTTCTTGCTGCTATATTTTGCTCTTCATCTTTCGGATTCAATTTGGATCTTACTGTACGTAATGCCAAATTTATGACGTCGCCAGTGCTTCAGAATCTTGGTAAATCGGTACCTGGATCACCGATACCACAACTTGACTCAAATATTCCACCTTCGTTTTATGGATACAGTATGAATGTTATGCAACCAAGTAATGGAGATATAAATTCAAAGTAAGTATCATATATTATCATAGTTTAAAGATTTATATTAATACCTATCGACGACAAGGATTTCAATGTTTATTAAGTTGTACTGGAAGGTTCTACACATACTTCCAAAAATATCAGTAGTAGCAATCATTGACACACATAAATACGAGACTACTATATTAGTAGAAGGTTATCGCGGTACAGCATAGCCTTATGTTCAATGAGTTGCGTAGCACGATCAGAATATCATGCCCAACAATGTGATAATACAGCATAGCTGTAGTGGACATAGAATTCTAGTTGATAATGGATGATTTCATTCGACAAAGTCGTTATTTGTTAGGCTGGAAGCGGCAATCCCTTGATCGCATCAATGCTGAAAATTGTAGACGATTTTCGACGGCGACAGGATTTGTAACATTCATATTTCAGAGCGAACTGATAAGTTTCAAAAAAATTCACAAAATTAAGGTATTTTCAGAAAACAATACATCCCTTTGAACCCATGCGCATTGAGAAGAGACGTAGTTTTGGGAGGAACCCCTTAGGGGGAAATATGTCCATCGTCTCATGGTGTAACACGTCGTATAGAAATATAATGTAAATTTACGTTTTTTTTTCTATGCTATACTATACCTAACCAAAGTCTAAAACGCGCAATCATCACATGTCTTCATCGTCTAAAATGTCATCATATTGTAATATCGTCATGTTTCGTGAAGCAATATGAAACCGACAAAATCGATACAAATGGTTCAATCACACAGGTTAATGTCAATGACTATAACTCAAAAATGTAAGCTTGCTGGTCTTCGACACCTTCAAATCATAATGCTTCTATAGTATGTATGAACGTTTTAATTGAAACATTACATGAAAAAAAATCAGAAAATTCATTTCCTTCATACTGTATTTTTTATTTTTATATTTGTCGGTAATATAATACTTGAGGAAACATGCTCAATGACTCATACTTCGACTTTAAATATGTTGTGATCATTAATTTATATTCCCACAAAATTACAGTGATATGATGTTGCGGTTTTGTTATAAAATTGACGTGTTTTGATATCTTGAGTCTTGACTATCGAAATTGGCCAGACTGAAATATATTTATCAGTGAAGTTTTGAAAATTGTAACATTGCATGGAAAAGTAAATAAAGTAAAGTAAATCGGTTAAAAAATTTCAAATCAGTTTAATGATTAGGCTTCTATGCGATTTGGCAATCACCGAAAACAAAAGAGGGGAGACTCGCACAAGTATATGTAGCAGGTGCTCGTAGGGCGCTTAATCCAATGGCTTATTAGACTTACTCAAAGTCCTAACTCCAACGCAATCCAGAATAAAAGAAATGAGGAGGGAACTTATTAAATGAATAAAAAATATATTGGTTACTGGTCATATGGCATACCACCCACACCTATAGCCTCGAATTGCTATTTTTAAATAAGGCTAGAATATATTATTGCTCTTTCAAGTAATTGACAAGAGCTGATCACAATACTGAACTATCAGACGGTATCAACAAAATATCTGGTAAATATAATGATGATTATTTTTCAATTACCTCAAATCACACCTTAGTTAACACGTTCCGTGTTAATTTATGAGATCACATAATTGCCATATCAGTACTACCTCCCGTAAGATAATAGGAATACTTACCTATTGATAACTTAAAAAGCAATAGTGCAATTTCAAACCCATCAACAGAAACATTAAAGTAAATAACTTGGCAATAAAATATTCTAAACGAGGGATTGGCGTGACATAACAAATAAAAACAAACAAACTGTAAAAGCAATATAGTATTCAGACAGCTAAAAGTCATTTAAACTTTACGTATGAGACTGAATTTAGATTGATAACATGTTAGTAGATGATCAAAATTAATATTAAATGATTGTTTTGACAATAAATTGATCTGTCACATTTAAAGCAATAGCTATAGAGGTAACACTACTTACTCTTTGTTTCATTTTTGGGTAACCCCGTAGTATGTGTACCAGATTAGGGTTAGGCCATAAATTTATTCATATTTTCCTTATTTTAGTTTTATTCCGGGTTCGGGGACTGTTTGTGATAGTCAAGTGAATACCCCCCTGCCCATAGGTTTCAGTCCCTTTACACAACTAGATGTAAAATAGGCGAACAAAACCTCGATATTGGTACACATAATTCTGGAGCGCCCATTTTTGACCTAAAAAATGTCGCGTGGGAAGTCAAGTTTACTTTCCAACCAGTAAAAAATCGAACGTAAAGAAATTATGGAGAAAATGATAATCACACAGTTTTACCATGGAAACCAAAGCTGTCTATCTAGCAATGGCACCAGAAGTTCTAATATATAATTTAAAAAGATCGGGAACTTTAGTTTCGGAACTATTGTTATGGATGACAAGAACCATCTAAATTCGACGAGTTATCTAATTAACATCACTTATTAGAGATAGATAATTACTAGCGTTTAAATAGCCATAGGACCGCGAGATGAACGGGGTATCCCCCACTCATTTGCATTACTTGAAGCAGAAAGCAACAACGTCAACTATGTTTAAATAAATTTTATAATAAACTTCTTATACTAGTGTTTCATTAACAACAAACATATACACTAAAGTATGGATTGAATGTAAGAATGTTTACAATAAAATGTTGAGTGAAATGTATTAGTAAATCCATACTGTTTGTTTCTGATATTTTATTTATTTGAATGTTCAATTATATCGTAGATCGATTGTTCAAATATTTGAACAGATATTCAGAAGAATGACAGTATGTTATTGTATAGCACAAAAAATATGCTGTGAGCGCTGGAGTAAGTCATATCTGCCGTTTAATACAGAAGACAAAATGATTAAGAGACAAAAAGAACGAAAAATCGAGTTTACCTTATAGATTGTATCTATTGATAAAAATGCGCAATTTATTCAATATTGTTTATGACGTAACAAGGTTTCCCACTATAGTTAACATTCAATGATGATACTATAAGAAATACATAGTGAGAAATTGTACATATATTTAGTTTATTGAATATGCATGTATAATATTTTTCCATACATTTTATATTTCAAAGCTTATTTTTCATACTGACTTATTGTTCAAATGTTAAAAGTCTGGGGTTTCGATTGCACGAGTGAGGATTTAACAAATATGTTTTGCTTCTGACTGTTTTACATGGTTTTTCAAAAAGCATGTAACAAAAATAAAAAGTCCACGATCACATACAACCAAAACAAGTGCCATTTTAACGTTAAAAATAGCATTTTGATAACGTTTTGATCTCACATAACCACTGAAAATTGCTACCCCCTGATGAGCACCTTCGCCTATCACTCCAAAGGCCTATATACCAAGATGACTGATCATAATAAACAAATCTATAGGTTTTCGATTTGATGGATTCAATATGGAATGCGTTATTCAACCACATAGCCGTATGTGACCGAGTGTTGTCTTCTTGCAAATTTCCCATTCACATTCTACATAGTTGTCATGTCTATATTAGAGATGTACCGATGTATCGGTATCGGGTATCGGTATCGGCAATATCGGCCATTTTTTCGGTATCGGCCATGTATAGGTATCCGTTAGATTAAGGCCGATATTTCCGATATATTTACCTTTTTGATATGGTCCAGAATGTTTTAAAAGATAAGTTGGAATACTACTTTTCAATTTATTTTTTGTCTGGAGAGATCGTGAGCTATGAGCCTTACATGTCCCTACCCCCGCGAGGGAATATGATTCACGTATTTTTAGCTATTTTCGCTGTCAAATTTTTATATTGACATTTTCAATATTACATAGTAATTATGAAGAAATATATCAACACGGCACATAACAAAAAGCAATTAGGCGCCCAGTTTTGAATCATACAGTGGAATTGGGGTCCTTATTAACGGCACATGGACTTTTGGCACGGGTATAAATTCTGACTGTTTGTCGAGTGTCATTTAGTCCGACGACATCGATAAACTAAATTCCGACACAATTATCTCTCTACGCAGATATTAATTTTGTTTAACAACACAATTTCTTTATAGATATATTGACATGACCGCCTAGCCCTAGAGGGCCTAGAGTCCTAGACTGTCTCAAAATATATGATAGCAATTGTATAATAATATAAAATAGTAAAGTAAAAAAACATCCTCGACGGTTATAGGTAGGCCTTCTTTTGGTCGGTGCTGATTGATATTCTTTCATGTTGGCTTTGACTTATTGCGTCGACGATTACGATTAGCCACGAAATAAAATATTTGAAAAATGCTTTTAATTTGAAAGTAGGACGGCGGCTCTAGAATGTGTGGGTGATATTCGATATTCTCTTAAACACGAATAACGATATTCGAAGGTCGCGATATTAACATTAAATTCAAATTGGGCACCCCGGCTTATGAGTTTTCTAATTGAACACCGAGATTACTAGCGTTACTGTACAGTGTATCTTAATCAGTTGAAGCAAACACCAAACTTTAATTTCATATTATGTGATATATCATTTTTCGATCTGAAATAATGTGTACTATGAACAACGCTCAAAGACCATTGTTTTAACCCGTCTGCCCTACACAGCACACCTAATTAAGTAATATTTACATAGTATCGGTATCGGAATATCGGTAATATCTGCCTTTTTGTAGTATCGGCGTATCGGTATCGGTATCGGCTTTTTTAGCTGGTATCGGATCGGTATCGGTATCGGCGACAAAAGTGGTATCGGTACATCTCTAGTCTATATCATATTATTATATGCAGCAAGCGCACCGTCAAATTAACACACAATTTCCGATAATTATAAACTGTTTTAGGACGAGCATGTCATTTTTTCATACTCTTTCTCGCTCAATAGAAAAATTAAATATTTGAATATTTTCTGCCATCATGCGTGTAAGGTCATTTGTTACCGGTTCAATTTTGCAAATTAAGTCCGGAACTGGTTGTTTGGCAAATACAACACACAGCGTTTTACCATAAGGTCATGAAGTTTCATTACGTGATAATGAATATAACCATATTTCTTGAACTTCACTATGAAGACAAATTCTGACAAAACTGGGCGATATATTTTAGGGACATGGATACTCATAATGTGATTAAAAATTATGAACAGTGTTGTGGCGCCGCAACGTTTATGGCGCGGAAAACGCTAATTTGATACTAGAAAAAAAAACTATATTATTAATCGCGTTTTGGTTCATTTTTTACGTTTAGACATATATATGTGTGCACCGGTTCATGCAGAAACAATTCAGAGGTTTCTAGCGGGGTGCAGGTAAAATAGCGTTGTTGATATAAATATAATCGTATTGAGAGAATGCATGCTGCATATTTATGCAATAATTATTTACTGTTTCAGAATTTTTGTTGGTTCTCCTCGTATGACAGATCCGTCAAATCCGGGGTTACAAAAAGCGATGACAAAACCAAAAGTTGGTATGTATGCTTTAATATATCGATTCCTTAGTTCCTCAATTTTCATTTTCTTGCTGTCAAAACATGACGTTCTGATGCGTCATACTATAACGAAAATAGTAGTAATATTTCTGGCAGTCAAGTTGTAAATTAGGCATTGTTTATCAAATCACTTTTTTGCAACAGTAATTTTATATGCGGTCCCTAAACTTTAAATAACAAAACAATTGTCGATATTTAAATTTTTTTCTCAATTATTTCATCAGCAAATTACACAAACAAATTTTTGGGTTCAGGTGAGAAACCAAAGTTCAAACCAACGGGCTCAGTGAATTCTTGTCCGGTCAAAGCAGCCTTATTTGCTGTATCATCTGTTCATCCCACATGCAGTCCAGCGCACCCTCCTCCACAAGTAGGAGACGGCCTGGGGGCAAGCTTAGCTGCGGCACCTGACGGACAAATGTCGGTAAGCAAACGCATGTTACTTTTCTGTTATATACAATTACGTAATAGTTCGTAATTGGTAATGTTAACAATCATAAACAGAAATGTGCAGTCTGAAAGAAGTTCCGATTGGATGTAATTTCAAACATTTTCTTCTCTTCTGGATTTTAATATATTCATTGCATTTGAGTACCACGTTGTTTTTAAAAAAAAATTCTGTTATATTTGTCAAATTTATTTTAGAGGGTATTGTAGATTAATTCTGATTTCACATGAGATACCAAAACTGCGAGTCATTTAAAATTCATATTCCTCTCACTTCATTTTAACAAACGTATTGTTAGTAATTACTATTAGTTCTGAGTAAGCTTGGTGTAATTTAGTTCAATGCATAATTTCAGTTTCTCAAATTATACTTTTTAAGAAATAAATATATGATAAAATATATACAGGCCTGCTCACCAGGGCGGGAACAAGAGTGTACAGCAGACAAATACAGCCCGGGCTTTTGTTATACTTCAAAAAATTATGGACGGAATTGGAAAATGGATCCGCATTCGGCAAAAGCAGGTAAGTTAAAAACAGCTGAAGATGTTTGACTGTATCTGTGATCGAAATTTTTTCTCCGATTTGATCTGAGTTCACTTTTGACCTGCAGTTTACCAGACGGAACGGAATATTTTGTACCTTTCTCCAAAATGTTTCGAATTTGAATTTTTTCATCAACTATTGCTAGTATATATGGTATTATAGAACCAATCGGATTCATCATTTATAGTCAAGCCCGACACAGAAAGATCTTTCTTGGTGATTTTGAGAAATATGTGGCTCGTTATACACATTACATTCAGGTGCGGACAATGCGAGGGGAATTATGGTTTTCTATCTAGTCGATGAATCTTTATGTTCATCGATGTTTGTAACAGAAAATTACTCTCATAAAAACTCGCAATTTCGTTATTTCTGTTTTGTTTTCAGAATGTCCAGAGAAGACAGTTGATGTTATGTTTGTTCTTGACGGTTCTGGGTCTGTAGAAGGACATTTTGATAAAGTAAAAGACTGGGTGAAAAATGTTACCAAGTTATTGAAATATCAAATGCGAATCGGGCTCATCCAAATCGGCATTGTTCAGTACTCACATTGGTACAGCGATGGAAGGTATCTAATAGGCTTGTATATTATTGTTTTTTTGATATTTAATTGTGATTAGAAAAAAGGCTCAGATTCATTCGTGATAATTTTGATTATATTTTATTCAATTCGACAGCTTATTCGACACCTCGTCCTAAAATGCAAATCATTAAAAACTCGCGAATTCGTAATTTATCTTCAAATAATTACTCCTTTCCACAATATTGTAATTGGAAGATAACAATCAAGTTCTGTTCCCATATAAAAAAAAAGATAGGAAATAGTATAGAATCTCGAATTTAAGAAGGCTTACAAGAAGCCAAAATTTATCAAAAATAATTTGCAAACGATATAAATAAAATCAAGAATTTGATTGATGGACTGAAGAAATTTCACTGGTATTGACAAATGAAATGCCATAAAAACAATATAAGATTTTTACATGGATTTATTTGAACGAATTTAGAATATATTTTAATACTAAGCACCCGTACGTTGCAGTCAAGTACATTGATTTTCTGGATGTTCTCATAATAAAATATTTTCAATTGAATAACACGAAATTTATTTACCTTTTAGACGTCAGAAGCATATTATTACAGAAGTTGAATTAGGAAAATATTCATTATATAAAGATTTCGCGGTGAGAATGCATTTTTATCCTGTTTAAATATTTTTTATTTATTTTACTTAAAAAAAATGCGAACCAATCTAAACTTTAGATCAAGACTAGAATTCTGGGCCAAATTTTGGGTTTGTCTGCTTACAAAGCTGAGCTTGAATCACATTCTTTTTATTAATTCAGTTAGATAGAGTAAAATACAGCTATAAATATTATTATAATGTATTGAATGTATAAACTATAGGTCAAGTTATGAAAACATATTTAAAACTGACGCTTTCATTACAGAAAGCTGTAAACAAAATAAAGATTCATAAATACACAACTTACACCGGCCGTGCTCTGCAAAAAGTAAAATCAGACTTCACAGCTTCAGAAAGATTTGGAAGTTCTAAGAATGCACAGTTAATGTTTCTAATGACTGATGGAAAGTAAGTTCTACATAGGCTATTTATTCATGTGGATTTACAATTGCTTACTGAACACGAAATGGACTACGGATAAATTCAATCTAGTTGACCCGATATTTGACCCAAATTTTGCTGTTGTTTTATCGATAAGAACACTGAGACAATGACGTCTGGTACAGTTCTTTAATGTTACCGGTAAGTCTTCCTGTCATTGTCATTTGATCTTCGTGTCAACATAATATTCAAGCATTGCACTCTTATATTTTATAGATCTAATGACGGAGAGCTAATCAAGCCTAACGCAGACGCACTACGTAACTTAGGAATTACGACGTATGCCGTTGGAGTTGGCCAAGCGGACAAAAACGAACTACGGGTGTGTATATATTTTGATTTCATCCTATGCTACATTGATATTAAAATTGAACCACTCATATAGGCTATACCTAATCAAGTTTAGGCATTCAATATATTATGCAAGTCAAGAACTTCGTATAGGCTACCTGTACGTTGCTGGTTTATAGACTATATATATGAAAACATTTAATGGTAACTGAATGGTTTGTACTAGAGATGTACCGATGTATCGGTATCGGCAATATCGGCCATTTTTTCGGTATCAGCCGTGTATCGGTATCGGTTAGATTAAGGCCGATATTTCCGATATATTAACCTTTTTGATATGATCCAGAATGTTTTAAAAGATAAGTTGGAATACTACTTTTTAATTTATTTTTTGTCTGGAGAGATTGTGAACTATGAGCCATACATGTCCCCACCCCCGCGAGAGAATAGGATTCACGTGTTTTTAGCTATTTATCAGCCAAATTAGCTCTAATTTGGCTATTTTCGCTGTCAAACTTTTATATTGACATTTTTAATATTACATAGTAATTATGAAGAAATATATCAACACGGCACATAACAAAAAGCAATTAGGCACCCAGTTTTAAATCATACAGTGGAATTAGGGTCCTTATTAACGGCACATGGACTTTTATCCCTCTACGCAAGTATTAATTTTGTTTAACTACACAATTTCTTTATAGATATATTGACATGACCGCCTAGCCCTAGACTGTCTCAAAATATATGATAGCAATTGTATAATAATATAAAATAGTGAAGTGTAAAAACATCCTCGACGGTTATAGGTAGGCCTTCTTTTGGTCGGTGCTGATTGATATTCTTTCATGTTGGCTTTGACTTATTGCGTCGACGATTACAATTAGCCACGAAATAAAATATTTGAAAAATGCTTTTAATTTGAACGTAGAACGGTGGCTCTAGAATATGTGGGTGATATTCGATATTCTTTTAAACACGAATAACGATATTCGAAGGTCGCGATATTAACATTAAATTCAAATTGGACATCCCGGCTTATGAGTTTCAATTGAACACCGAGATTACTAGCGTTACTGTACAGTGTATCTTAATCAGTTAAAGCACATGGATACCAAACATTAATTTCATATTATGTGACATATATATCTTTTTTTCAATCTGAAATAATGTGTACTATGAACAACGCTCAAAGACCATTGTTTTAACCCATCTGCCCTATACAGCACACCTAATTAAGTAATAATTACATAGTATCAGTATCGGGATATCGGTAATATCGGTCTTTTTGTAGTATCGGCGTATCGGTATCGGCGTTTTCAGCTGGTATCGGATCGGTATCGGTATCGGCGAAAAAAGTGGTATCGGTACATCTCTAGTTTGTACCAGGACTTGCTTTGTTTATGATAAGTAATGTGACAAAAGCCCAATGTTCAAATATATAGCCGCGAAGGTCCAATAACTAACTGTATTAGCTAGTAGGGTACCGGTAACCTATGCGGTTCACACACTCATTTGGATGAGCACTGTGAGCGCAAAATCAAAACGACGGATAGAGGGGACGTAAGTGGACACGCTTGACCGAAAAAATACCAGTGTTCTCCAAAACTGAAATAAAACAGCAAAATTTCGGGTGGAATAATAGCCTTCTAGTGACTACATATTTTTTGAGAATATAATAATATGAAAAATCGATTGGTTCAGCATTAGCCACGAAGAAAGCAATTTTTCAGCTCTAACAATGTCGCACAGTGACAACGATATGATTAAACAATCCAAATGACCATTTTGTGTCTAATAAATATATGATACTAGTTGCAAATTATTCGAGCCATTTGTTTTTTTAAGAAAATTGCTGGTGTAAGAGAAAGAGTTTACAGTGTTGATAGCTTTGATGAACTGGGATCGCTTGTCAGTGATTTGCAAGAAAACATTCTCAATTTCGTATTAGAAGGTGAGTGCGTCTGTCGATGTTTTTATGCCGTCATCAATTTTTCTGATATTGCTCTTGTTATTGATATTTATTATCAAATAATTGATAATGACTATGCTCTGGGACTCCGTAAAGTACTTTGCACTTCTTGTTTTATACACAGAGTAACCCATGAATAATATTTTTCAACGCGGTTTTCTGATTACCTACAAGGTCAAAATGCATATTGAAACTATGAACAGTTTCTTTCTTTGAATGTTTCAATCTTTCACAGTTGTTAGCCTAGTTTGTACAAGAAATCAGTGACGTAATCATGATAGAACAAAGTCAAATGCTGTTATTAGGTATTATGTTATGTAAACAAAAATATATATGCTACTGTTGGTTCAAAACAAATTATATTATATAGGATTAATTAGGGCTTTTTTGGTAACATCTTTTTTGGAAGATACTATTTCACCATTTTATTTTGCAGGCGGTGGTTCGTCATCAACAGCAGATTACAATTTTGAGTTTGCCCAGACGGGATTTTCATCCACATTTGACGAAAATGTAAGTGTACTTACAATAGGGTTTGTATCGTTGCTAAATCAATTAAAATATATGCTCGAAATTTTATATTGCTATTATGACTTAATAATGTTAGAGACAATTTATTCTTTGTTGCCAGTATTGGGTATTTTTGTTCGATTTCTAAGAATTTGTTTGTGTATAATGTGGTTGAATGTGTATGATGTGTGAATATTGCAGAAAAGCGATGCGGGCGCGTGATGTCGATCTCCGAATAACCGATTCTACATTTATCGCATAAATAGGCAGAAGATTTTATCAAGGACTACAAAATCGCACTTTGTATATACAAGAATATATACATAAGATAAATGGACGCATTTATAATTGGATAATCTATTAACTTAGACGGAAGATATTATGTTTGGTGCGACATCAGGTGAAAAGGTGTCGCTTTATTCAGTATTGGCAAAATACAGCCTGCATTTTTGACTACAACTATCTAAGAACCACTAGTTGGTGCGAATGGGCTGCGTTTTCATTCGAAACAAATCGTTGCAAACGCGGCAACTGAATCATTTGCTACGGATCAACGCTTTGTTTTTATATAATGGATATCCGCCATTGTGCACCCAACAATGCTATCCTTGAAACTACGAAGAAAGACAAGAATAATGTAAGTAACATTTTCATGCAATTAATTCGTTGACTCAACCATATAGGAAAATCCTATACGTCAAAGCAAGATCATGCCTTTTAGAGGCCCTGAGCACATAAGACCTTGGTACCATATATATATATAATAACTGAGGTTCCATGTTATCTGAAATTGAGCAGTCTCAATATCCATTACTGATTGATGGCCAAATTATGATTTTAATTTACATTATATTTTTTGGAATATATCATATTTTTTTTTTTTATATTTTCTTATGCCTACAAACATTTAGGATGATAATTGCAAAAGAAAAATAGGCAAATATTTATTGCAACCGGGCTAATATTGAGGTATGGAACATTTGACCAACTATAAACATTTTATTAAATACTGAGGTGCCATTGAAAATTCGACTATGGAAATTTCTGTCGTGTCCCCATTTCATGGTGCTCTAACACGTGCGTGTTTTGCCTAATTTAAATCCAGCCCTGACGTCTTGGATAATAAAGTTGTTCACACTGCACAATCTATGTAGGTAAGGAAGACTGTGGCATGTATGCAAGTATAAAATATGGATGCAACTTGAATCATTATTCAGAACTCATTATTTAATAATACTGCAAGATAATTTAATAACACTTACAGAGCCTTGAATTTGAGGGCACTAGTAACAATATCAAAAAGCGTTTCAATTTCTTTCCTGAAAAAATATTTTGAAGAAATTCGAGAAAAAGTTTTCTAAGTCAGGTGAAAGTATTTTATGGTCAAAATTATACTTATATACATAATATTAATATTTGAGCGCACAATAATTAGACAAAACAGTACTTCCAAATCTATAAGCTTTGAAAAAAAAATGTTCTCAAAGAACCTTCAAATTTGAAAAAACAAAAATGACTTCAACGAAGCTTAGTCAAATCGATGTTTTGGTAGCTCACCAAGGAAATATGCAAATTGGGTTTGAATCACAAACTTATTTGGTAGAAAAAGTTTACAGCTTTATTATTTCTATATCTTCGATGCAAACAAGCAAGCCCTGAAATTGCTATGGTCAGCATTGAGTCAGATATGATCCATCATTTGACAGAAGTTCTTTGGAGGTTTATATGATAAAAACAGGAATCCCTTATGGACTCACAGCACAATTGAATGCAAATTCTATGCGTCACGCCGTCAGTATCATCGGCTTTTAGATCGTTCTCGAAGATCTAACAAACGGGAGTCAACAAAGTAAAAAATACTGCTCCGGACTTCTGTCCAATTGCCCAAAACTTCGTTCGGACACAAAATTCCGTCGTAGATATGTCATCGACCAATTAGTTTCGACGTACAGATCTTCAATCTTACGATAGTTGTACGTAAACCTCATTCCATGCCTTCGTTTTTGTACATAGCTAAATTCCATCAGAGTTTTGGATATATATTTCAGTTTCCTAGTCTACTTCCATGCTTAGCAATTACATCGGGGTTTCAAGCTTATACGTGTTTTGCCACGTGAATTTCGAAGAACGCAATAGCTTGTACTATCTTATTATTTTTATTGTAAATCTGATGATCTAGGTTTTTACGTATATATAGTGTTTTATTAAGGTTGCTTGAATGGCTAAGCGTAATCCCAATGCTCGATTCGACCCAGATTCCAATAACTGTTTTATTGCATGATAAACTTGAAAAAAAATTTAGAATAATCATAGTAATCTCTCGTAGCTCAAGTATAAAGTATGAAAAAGATTTTCACGATGAAATTTTTCAGTCAATCATTTATGTTATTTAAACTGGTATTCTTACTACTTAAATTGCCGCAAGATTTCTAAATATCAATACTCCACAGCTTTTAGAAAGTTACGAGATTCACCTCTATTGGGTCAAAGATGATCTGAGCATAGCAATGTGCGAGATAAATACATCATGCCATGTTGTGCATGAATCATCAAAATATTTAAATAAATGGGTAAGAAGCTGTTTCGATGCCAATTCAGCAGCCATATCTCTAATGAGTCAAACGCGTGATTCAAATTACGTAATTCACTTTATAATAGAAGGAAAACCAGAGAGACTTGCCATACTGCAACACAGCAATTATGATTCAACTTCTCATCGAATCCAAAATGCAGACACTATAAAAAAGTGGGATGTAGGCCTATAAAATTGCGAGCTTTCATAGACAAACTACTAGACCCTCTCGAAGTTTGTGTGACATGGGTGTTTTTTGGGCAGGAATTGCATTTATGTGGATTTTTCTCGAACGAGTAGTAGCGACTCCAATTATTTGGTATTTCAATTCACGTTGAATATGGAAGCACGAATCACCGCCACAGGACCTGGAAAAGCAAGGACAGTTCGGGTACTGGGTACCGGTACCCTGATACAGGTGCTGATCGTAGCTGTTCCAGAGTTCCAGCTTCGTTCAGGATATCGTATGGTTTTTGAGTATATGCCTATAATTGAAAATAAATCCAAACAAAGTTTACGGAACTAAATGAGCGATACAAATTTATTTGTACCTGCTTCAAGTTAGCACAGTACGGCCTGAGAGCAAAAATGGAGTGTGAAAAGTTTTCATGCATGATAGTTTCGTTTATTATCGAAAATTTTGCGATCAAACTCGTTCTTATCCCCTATGTTAAACTAATAGGCATTGATGAGCAAATCTTCTAATCTAACTCCTTTGAGCAATGCGCCTTTTCTTACATGTCCCCTACTTGTGAAAAAAATATTATGTATATCAATATACAGATGTAAACAAATATTTTAGTTTTTTTCAAATACGATCGAATGAAAAGTTTTTTACATACTCTTTACTAATATTTCAATTCCTTGTGATGATGAACGAAATCTCAATCACAATGAATTATTTAAAATTCAACGATTATGTTATGTTTCTACAATAATAAAATCCAATGGTTTCAGGTAATTTTATTGGAAGAAAAGACTTTTGGACAAAAATCGAGATTATTTTCACCGCACTCAATTCACAAAAGATTATATGAAACTTAACGATAATGTTAGTTATTTAATGTATCCATACACCATAACAACACTCTTCCGCAAGATTTTATTGCTTTTCCTTAGTTTTTAATTAGAAAAGACTCCCTGAAAGAATCGAGATTATTGTTGCATTAAATAATTTGGCGCTTTATAAAGTAACAAATCGATACGGTTTAATTACTTTTTCACCTATACGGTTAAAAATATTTAGTAAATTAAAAAAAATACTTGTAGTTGAGAAATTGATACAATTCGTCTATCATTAGTAAATTTTATTTGACTATTGAAAAGCATACTTTTCGTACCATAAATGCAATTCAGAGCAACCTTATTGTTTATTTCTATCTTTTTAGTTACGTGAAAATAACTAATAACTTTTATATATATTTTTATATAAGTTTTACTATACGCACTTTAACAAAAAAACGAACACGACGACTTTTCGAAAACGGTATATTGAATCGTGCCAATATCAATGCTATGGTTTTAATATTACCTAACTAACCTTTAGATATTATAATACTAGTTTTTTATGAAGTTTTTAATATGAAATGCCAGTGTTAATGAGTGGGTCGGCAAGTATCTAGTTGAGGATACCTATAAATAAATATATACCCAGCTGCAATAATTTATAATAAATACTGTATAATACTGGGAGCGATAGCCTGGTTATTAGTGCGTTAGACTTAACAACTTTAGCTACCAAGGTAAAGATCTGGCTTCAAACATTACCTTTGTCACTGCCTTATCCAGAATGTAATATATACCGGTAGAAAACTTCTAAGAAAAGTTGGCGTTTGATGTATCAGTTTCCGCTTACGGAACGAACGCCTTGTTTAGATTGTAATTGAAAAAACTTCTAAAAAATCTATGTCTCAAATCTATTGTGGTATGTACAAGTAAGTCACTTTATTAAATTACTGGTGTTATGTATCTACCCATCTAAGTTTATGTACATGTGTCGAAGTGACCCGTGTTTACTAAGTTAAGTAATTTTTACAACGCAAATCCGGGAAACATCCGGATCCGGATAGATCATGATGTCGAGGACAACGGTACAAATACTTTTGGTACTGATCATCTTACGAAAGACGTTTTCATATAATTTGGCGCTGACAGAGAAAATGGCAACGTTTGTTACGTCACCTGTCGTGGAACAACTAGGAGTGGCAAACATTAGCGGTGGAATAAAGCAACTGTCAGCTGACATTGTTCCTTCTTATTTTGGTTATAGTTTTAATATAATACAGAAGAGTGATGGAACAGTCGGGTAAGATCAACGAAACTTTGACAAAACGATGTAATTTGGCGTGATAAAATAATATATACCTAAACTTATCTTTAATCAATATTTCACAGAATGATGATAGGGTCACCTAAAATGATTAACCCAACAAATCCAGCATGGCAAGATAAGACACTCGGAATAAGTCAAGGTGAGATTTAATTCACTCACGAAGAGTAATTATTTAAGCTGTTCTATAATCTTCGCTCCCACTTCATCATTTTTTTTACAATTTGTTTGAGTATGGAATAAAACCTCTTGATTTGAGTAAACTTTCTTAAAATCTTCCAAATATTATCAAACTTAATTTGATCAATTTAGACGTACCTATACTATCAGAACTCCACATCCCTACAATTATATCCTGCAAGTGTATCGAAAGATGCCAAGTATACAGAAGAAGTCATATTTAAAAAATGGTCTGTGTGTCATTATAGAAATGTCCGAAAATATTTTATATAATGACTCGTATATTTCCACCAAATACTGAAACTCATACTTCATAATCTCGACCAAAAAAGTTTAAAGAATTTAATCAATTTTTACATTTATTAATTCGTTAATATTCTCTTTAGTTTTTAATAATGTAAAGTGTATTTTGTGCTTAGAACCAAAAGGAAGTATTGAATCATGCGCAATATCTCATTCCTTATTTACAACCGGTGATATTTCAACATGTGTGCCGGCTTACCCTAACAATCCACAAAATGGAGACAATTATGGGTTAGCATTCCCAGTACGACCAGACGGAAGAATTATGGTGAGTATAAGTAAATTTGGCTGGAACTTGAGAGTGCGCTCTTCTGTATTAACTTAGTAGTGATGGGGGCCATGTTTCTCAAAGTGACGTTGAAAAGCAAAGTGATGTCACAATATAATTATGTGTTATAATCAAGGCGTTAGAATAAAATATCAAATTACCACACTTTTATTGTTTCAACCCTCTTTTTTTCCTGTAGCTCTTTTTACCAACTGCATATATATGTAGTCTCAGATAGACGGGGTTGACGACTATGATTGTTCGACACGAAGTTTACGTATACATCGCTTTGCTAAATTGTTGTTGTTTTCAGCCTTGTTGTTGTTGTGTTGGAATTGTCGTTATTGCCAAAAATAATCAATTTTCTTCGTAACTGAAGAATATATCGATTCAAAATTTTCAGTCATTTGGGATAGTTGGATCAACCAGAAGGTCTTTATGTGTCTTATATTACCTGATATCTCACCCAAACTGGGTTCTAAACTAAAGCCTTACCTTACCAGTACCGATTTACAACTTTCGTGTCCACATATTTAAGCATTTATTAATATATATCTGTTCAATGAATCTTTGCGTTGCGGATCAGCTTTTCTTGGCCTATCACTATATATACTCAAATATTTGATGAAACGGGTTTCATGAAAATACTATTGAGTGGAATAATTACATGAAGAAAACTGTGCAATGAGGGCAAAAGTACATCTTTGGCTATACATTCACATGAAATGACATAAATTTACAGAACAGACCTATTGCAGTTGAGTTTAAAAGCCATAATTGCACAATTTTCGCCCGCTTCTTGTTCTGTAAAATATTCATTTCAATATACCGTTATATTAATTAGGTGATAGAGAACCGTGTGTGGTAATTGCATTCTAATTTAATTTACACTATTTGCAGACTTGCTCACCTACTCGGATTCAAAATTGCGGTGACTTATTATATAGTCCCGGCTTTTGTTATAAATCGAGCGACTATGGATTGACGTGGGTAGAAGACGATAACACAAAAGCAATAAGTAAGTAGGCCAAAGGATTACAACTCACTTTTATTATATTCTTCACTCTATTGTTGATAAGATACATATAATTACCGACCATTTCAATTCATGTTGTCCACGCAAAAGTTGAGAGGCTTCATTTTAATGGTCAGAGTTATTTCATCAAATCGCAACGTCATAAAATAATGAATGAAAAGTGAAAAAATTCCTTCTCTAGAACATATTATATAATCTATAGGAAATCTATTTTAATATATGATAGTTTTTATACTTAATTTTGAGTGTGAAAAAAATGTTTTAATTTGCCATGGTTATGTATATATATCTGTTGAATTAATCCCCTTTCTAACTGCAGTGACATTCTCAGTTGATCAATAATGATCGAATCATTATGGGATTTCAAGTCATGCGAATAAATTAATCATTTTAATTGATATATTACGTCAAATCTAAAAATAACATGATTTAATCTGTTGGCTACATGAATGAGTAGTGCTCACTGAAGCACCTTGATCGTACCAATGATGTCATAATAAGAATCATTAGATCGTGACCATATTGCATTCAAAATTTATGTTCTCCAGTATGCAATTACAGTTATTTTTAAGACTTCGAACCAACGTCGCCCAACCATGGAAGGATTACTCCCCAGGGAGAAATTTTATCATTCTTGGGGATGGAACTTGCTTAGTATTAATCTGTAGCACAACTACTATTATTCTTCATTTATCTATTATTATTATTATAATGTTTATTTATGCACACAATATTAACTACTCAAACTCTACAAAAGCGTTACGATGATTCGTGCATAATACTAGCTAAGGGTTCATTAAAGATCGAACAATTGTAGTAATTTTTATGCATGGAAATGGGGGGAATAAAAAGTTTCAAAATAGGCGAGGCGATAACCTGAAAACGACAGCTGTAAACAGTACTATCAAATCGGAATGCGAGTATTTAACTCTTACATATATAGACAAGCTTCCTAATAAATCATATTATTTTTGAAATTTGGGAAGTTACTCGCTATAGATGTCACTGATATATTCCCATTTGGAAACATATATAAAAAATGAAATTAGTATTCATACAGAAACAAAGAGCAATGCTCAAATATATGGACACGAATGCCAAAACAAAGTAGTACAGGTATGTGATATTCCACAAGACCGATTAAGACTGACCACTATGTCGCAACGATAGCGAACGCGAAATAAATTCAAAATAAAGAAGGCAATAGCATTCAATCGACAAATTCAATCTTTAACTATTGAAAATTTGTGTTCCGTATCCTTCGTCCAACTAAATCGATTCCATATTTTATTCAATTAAAATAGATCGGGCTTGAAAGAAAGTGTTTTAAAATTTACTGAAGTCGTTTTGCTAACCTCTTGAATACTTGAAAAATCGTTTAAGCTAGTGCATCCCAACTATTTTCAATATATATATTCCACCGTATGCCTATTTCGAATCTTTCAACCCCTACCTCACTATGCATAAAAATTCTGCTTCCCAGGCTATGGTTGCTTGCAACTCGCAACCCGGCTTTTGCTCAGTTTGAATAGTTTATAATGTGTAAATAACTAGGTAATACGGCAATACTAAAAAAGTAAAAAATAGTAAAGCTATATTGAATAAAAATTGTCTCTTTTATTTACAATAAATCTTGAATGCTGGAAACATGACAACTCTTTTCCAGGCTGTCCTATTTTACACGTTGAAGTCTTGTTTGTACTTGATGGATCTGGATCGGTGGGAACAGAATTTTCTAAAGTTAAAGAATGGGTCAAAGAAATCTCGAAGAAACTTCAACTTGAGGAAGGAAGAGTCACAGTCGGTGTCGTTCAATATTCTCACTATACAAATGCGTAAGTTTCACTATTAAAAAGAGAAGTATTCGAGAGTCAAAGGTCAATTTGGATTCGTTTTTTATGTTTAACGGAGAAAAGAGATGATAATACGGTGTGAGTTCATGGCCAACCACACAGCCTATGGTACATTTTATCGTCCGTGATTCGGTTATATTCCGTGCTTTCTGAGGATTCTGTTTAAGTTGGAATGGCGAACATCCTCAATAAGAATTTCTAATCACCAGCAGTACAATACGCAATTACTCTCTTTGAAACATAATAATCGCTCTTCAATTATTCAATGTTCGCGGATTTCCTTTACCTGTTTTATAAACTCTGTGTTTTATAAAATAAATTCGATTACTGGTTTGCGTTTGGTGATTTAGCCTGCTTACAACTTGGTAATCAACAAATGCAGACAGTAAATCCACGCAACATCGTTATTCAGATGCCTGACTCATTATTGAAGCTTGGCATGAACTTGATGCAATCAGTTTGAAGCAATGGTAGGAATTGCTACTGTTCGGATAATGAGATATTTACGAAAAATTGTAATTTTCACTCCACTCAAATTTACTATAACCATATATATATTCAGTAATCGATAAACTGTGTGTATGATTTTTCATTTAACGTATATTCGAAAACATCGTTTTATTTCAGTTCGGATATCGACAACCAGCCGTGGATTGTCACTCACATAACAATCGGACAATTCAAATCTTATGAAACATTCGCTAACGAAGTAGACAGAATCAAATTGCAAGGATATACAACTTATACAGGAGCCACATTGAAAAAAGTTGTCACGGACTTCAAAAATACCAAGAACTACAACAAGGCTTCGACCAAACAGGTCATGGTGTTACTAACTGACGGAATGTGAGTTTTCGAATTCTGATTCAAATAATTCCGAATGTATTTACAGTGGCTAAATCAATTTATTTTAATTTTTAGAGGCATCCAGAAAATAATTTTTCAAGACAAAAATTTATTTAAAATTGTTATAGCATAAAGAACAACGTTTCTAATCCAGTGACAGCCCTATGTCTGTTGGCTTCTTAAAAGCAGTTGGCGGGTCGACATTTTGAATTCCCTGGTGATGGAATTAGAGTAACAAAACATCGAATTTCCAACCAAAAATCAGTAGCTGCCTTCAAAATGTTCAAGAAAAAAATGTTATTCAACGCACAAGAAAAATTGAAATTAGAAAGTCTCCAACTGTAGAGGTGAAAAAACCTGGTTCCAATCTAAATTTCGAGTCAAATATTTGTTAACTCGAAGTCGTTTTCTTGATTGTCTACATATTGTACATCTATTGGACATCTTTTACATATTGGATAAAAACCATAATGTCTGATTCCCATTTCTTATCAATATCCGGATAAAATCTATCACATTTTTTTTTTAATACAGGGCGAAGGATACAGAAGATGTTGCAGTAAATGCGGAATTTTTGAGACAGATGGGAGTAATACCGTATGCTGTTGGAGTGGGAAGCAATGAAACTGTGAACAGAACTGAACTGAGAGTAAGTCGCATTCTTATCTTACAATTTTTTGAGGTAGCGTAAAGCTGATTGAAAATAAAAAATATTTCTTAGAATTGATCTCGCTCGCCTTATTTTGGGTATTTACATTTCTTTATTGTTTAGGAGATTGCAATTCCATCCACGTATTCCCAGTTTTTTTTTATTATACATACTTTTGCCCTACTATCTGTTATTTGTTGGTTATTACTAGCTAGTCATTTTTGAGGTGGTGCGCAATACTTGACAAATTCCAAAAAAATGGGCGCGTAAGAAGTTTGAGAAGCACTGCAATAAATAAAGGGTGCAACAATATAAACTCATATACAGGACAAATTTTGAATTGTTCATTTTAGTTAATAGCAAACGGTGATCCGGAGAACGAAACTAGAGTTTTTATGGCAGCAGACTTTGACGGGCTAACAGCTATTGCGAAAGAATTGGAAGCAGCGATAGGAGGAATTGTACTTGAAGGTACATTTGTAAGTGTGAATATAATGAGAGTGTTCGATTCTAAAAGCATTGTTTTTGTGATTCCGTTTCTTACCATTATCTCAAAGTCTTAAATAACTGGCTAAATAATCCCATATCGACCTGGACTGGTAACCGGACGAGGGGACGTGGTTCGCCATAGGATTAAGCCGTCCTATCGCCTTTCCTCTCCCCCGGGATAAAAATGTAAACCCTACCCTATCTTAGAAAACTGGTTAGACTGAAATTATCAACCACGCGAAAGGAATTATTCAAAATGTTCGAATACAAATCACCTTAGACCTTGCGTTAAAAAACCATTGTAAAAGAAAAGTCATTATAAAAAGGTAGGAACTAGACCACGATATAAAACTTTCTGATTTTAAAGGTACTACTGGAACTGGTGGAACAGGCTACAAAATGGAGTTTGGTCAATTAGGACTTGCCAGTGCCTATGGTCGAGGAAGCACTGCAAGAAATCGAAGATCTTTTGTAAAAGCTCATCCGGTAACTTGAGTTTGATAACAAGTGAGGTCCCCATCCTCATACCAGTGATCGCCATCACTCGATGACTGGCTTACCTTGCTGAGCGAATACACAGACGATTATTACTCCTGGTTTGCGAATTAAAATCAGTCTGAAATATTGATAGGTTTTTGTACCAGAGGGTTGATCACGTGACGGCTGGTGGTTCTTTCATCATATGAGACCATGTATATGGTCCGATTAAATTGATCTTATCTCATGACAAAATTCAGCGAAACTTTGTTTTTACTCGTTTACGTTTAGCTTTCTTACCCGAGTTAAATGTGAAAAATTCTATGCAGTACTATTTATGAAGCTCTTGTCATGCGAACACTTCCAGTGTTAATTGTTTTTCTTAAAACCAGCTTGCAGTCGGAACTATTGGATTGTGTTTATTTTTCCATGTTGACCTTTTGTGTGGAGATGTGTGTGTGTGTGTGTTTGTGTGTGAAAACAGTATGTTTTTAATTTGTCTGTTGAATGTTTCGTATGAATGTGTCAGTTTCTATATGCTCGTATGTTTGCTTGGAACGACGGCCGCGTTTTTTCACGGAATTTTAGGACCGGATACGGGAAGGTCGACAAAGATGATTCAACTGCAAATAAACACCTATTGGTAAGTGTTGACATTCCGACAAAACAAAAGGATTTCCATTAAATATATTCTATAATTTCCACAGGTATCGGAAAATGTGTAGATTTGCGGGAACATCAACAAAGCCAAGTTAAATACAGAAATGAAAGAACAACGGGGTTGGAGACAGCAAAATAAATCATTCCGAAGAGCCGATTCCATGACAAAGCAATATTCAACTTTCAGGCATCGTTAGTCAGCGGCATCACCACGGAAGAATTTATAGCACTGATTGTACTCTACAACGGATTTTTCTATCTTTTAATGCTCTGTGTTTAGCATGAGGGAAAGAAATTGAAAAAATTAAAAATAAACAATTATGACGCTAACCTATTATTTCATCTGTGGATTCGTTGAATGCATTACTACGAAATAAAGCCCATATTTTAGTATCTCTATTTTAATATGTTTTGCGAGACATGTAAAATATGTCGTTTTTAGTATTTGAAGTACAAAATAATAATATTACACGTCATTTTTATTCTGTAGTATTCTGGAGTTTTTGCATCCACCCTAAGTAATTTGCAATGATTTAGAAATAAGGATACATCGTTGCTAAGCACAAAATATCGTCGCCAAAAGAATCTTTCTCGTGTTTTGCTTTTAGTCCGTACAGAATATTGGTAACATCCATTTGACGGTTTGAAGTCGTTCATTGTAGAAAATTTGTGAGCACATAGTCACACTCTTTCACTGAAACTGCCAAATTAGAATATCAAAAAGAGTTTTCCACGTGATATTAGCGAGATGCAATTTATCGTGAGTCAAATAACTTTTGAACTTTTTGTGAGGCGTTTCCTAACGTCGTTTGAAACAAACTTCCATGTTATGAGTCAATTTACTGAGAAACCTGCTATATATATACAAATTTACGGGGGGTCTTTCTTTCAAAATGGGCTATTCGTCTTAACTAGGTGATGGGCATAAATTCCGGGACACGAAACATACACATATAGCGTAAACTACGAAAATAGAGCATTACGCTTCTACGAGCAGGGGTTCTAGAAATCCTAAAACTATAGTATATAGGACTGAAGGTCGGACCATCGAACAGCCCATCAAAATGAACTCAAATTTGAACGTGCAAGTGCTGTGCAATTTATGATTTTTTTTCATGCACAGTGTCATTTTTTGATAAACTGCTTACATCGGTACGTGATACCGAAAGAGAGATCATTTTTATCCAAGCTGTTCCAAATTTGTGTAATGAAAAAGCGAATCGTTTCCATGGTATGCTCATTTGTGATCAACGATTGCTTGTAATTTTGTTCTACTTTGATTCGATAAGGTTTTTGCACAATGATGTCGCTTGGGTTGACAAATAGGCTAACCACATCTTGGTTGTATTGAATATGAAGTATTTCAAACACCACCCAATTTCGAGCGGAGGTAGACAGGTAGACATTTCAACTTTTTCAATCATAACACGGCATTAATAAACATATCACGTTGTTGAATCCTTGTTAGTAAATGAAAAAGCATCCAAAAATAATGAGATACCGAATCGTGCACGGTACACGCAAATAGGTTCCGTCCCATCTGCTTATAGGGTGCACATTTGCTCAAAAATCCGTTCTTACAAGACTTATATTTCTGCGAAAGTGCGTCTTGCAGAACTACTATTTTCGTTCATTCCGCGGAAAACAACGTTCTCAAAAAAGTAAGTTTTCCTTAATCACGTAAATGTTTGTTTTGCAAAACTCAGAGTAATCTGAATAATCTTTATTCAGGCGAAAAGTAATTCACAGAAAAACATCGTTGGCGCAAAGGTTCTCGTAAACCGAAAAGTTTGTTTTTGAAAACATCCCACAACTTTCTTGCATAAGACTGTTCTAGCAAACTACTTTTTCGTGGGCCCGTTGATTCCGTTTGCATTATATTTATGGCAAATATCTTAGGTATTGAAATGTGAGTCTACGTGGCACTGAATGAAAATTAAATAGACTGATAGAATGCTGTTTATTTCTGTTACATTTTATCGCTAAACTGGGATGTAGCGGTCACTAGAAATTATGGTGAGAATGGAAGTGAAAGCAGACAAATTTAATTACCAGGAAGTAGTACAATAGAAGCACTCAGTTTTCGGGTTTGAACGGAACTGATGATGATGAAAAGAATGAACCATGTCATGAAGCTCATTTGGAGAGTGGTATCACATCATTTATTGTTAAATATAGATCCGTCTTTGTGAGTTTTTCTGCACAGAAATCAGGAAATTGTATTTGACGCTAAAGCATGACCCATATTATTTTATAAATTCTGACAAATATGATAACAGAAACTATGAATCATGTCATTTCCTTCGTATTAAAAATGGAGAAAATAAAAAATTTGAATCAATTTTCGTAGGCGAGTTACTGACATTCGTTGCCCCAATTTTTCATGTCTTTGGCATTGTGTAACTCTAAATCATTATTCCTTGCGCAATAGCAGTTTTAAAATTTTCTTCAGCAATATATTGTTCGGCACTTGATTAGCAATTTCCAAAAGCACATGTGGCCGATGTGTGTAAAGGCGGAGAATATATATATATATATATATATATATTAATGTACTTTTTCACTAAAGAAATATAGTGGGTACATTTTTTTAGAAAAAAACGTACTAGATATAAGAACCTATGACAGAACACGCAAAAATGCAGCTTCAAATATTAGTGTACGGAATTATACTACTGGTAACAACAAAAGTAGACGTATATGGGTTCAACTTGGCCTCGACTGACGGAACTGTACAATATATGGTATCACCTGTTGTTGCACAATTTGGTATCAATTCATCACTTCAACTACCCACCAACGTGAACAGTTCTTTCTATGGATACGACTTCAAAATAATTGTTAATAGCGGAGGAAATATCAGGTAAATGGATTTTAAGTTAGATTGTTCAACGTGTGGATTAAAGCGGTAATCCGTTGAAACTTTATTTGCTTTTGTTAGGTTATAAACACATATATATACTTCAGATCAGGGATTCTGAACGTTTATTTTCTTATTTATTCCTGGAAAAATCTCTTATTTAAAAATTTAACATCAAGTCAGGTCCAAGTTACTCTAATGCCAATTTACCCCCAATTAAGAGCCTTCGCTACAGATGATCTAATAAGGAAAACATGTTGAATATTTGATGAGAAACTCTTGATAAAGTTATTTTTTATTATTGCGTTTTGCAAAGATAGATACTCATTTATTCTTCTATTTTGCGTTTCATTTTAGCATGTTGATCGGATCTCCAAAAATGATAGATCCCGCCTCTATGAATTTGCAGATATCTGAAAGCACAAACAAAGCGGAACAAATTGGTTAGTTATATCGTAATGGCGGAGGAAAATTTTATTCTTTGAAGACCTATGTTCATATTTGTGAGAAATATTTTAGATGAGGATGACGATACGTCTTTGTAGAGATACGTTTTAAGGTGTACCTTCCGCTAAATTTGAGTACTGCTATATTGTGAGATCTATACCACACCGTAAAATCTTACTCATGGTGTAATAAGGGATATCAATAAGTGATGGGGAATACAACACAGTACTAACTTGAGGTCAATTTCATGATATGAATGGGGGGGGGGGCTCACGATACAGATCACCCACATCTCAATAATATCGACAGAATTGCCATTTGCTAGTATCCCAGATATGATGTTATGCAACAAAATTACAGCAAATTTTGTAGCCTAGCCAAGATATTCTAGACAGAATTCTAGACAGCCCGACTAAGACAATAAGTGTCCCTGAGCTATTTTGTTTGTGGGACCCTTCCCACAGTGACGTCATTCAATTTTTATAAAACTTTATTTAATATAATATTTTTGACAATGTAAAACCTAATTTTCTCCTGATGACCTCACACGCGGAACCGATGACTATAATTGATAATGGGCGAAATATATTCAATAGTAATGGTAACCTATCCACATCGAGTTTGTGCTATTCGGAAAAAATATATATTCACCGAGAACTTTTGTAGAAATGTGATTCCACGAGTAATCGTTATCCGTTATAATATATATTGAGGTTGATTAACGTTTTTTCTGCAATGCAATGACTTATATGGTAGCGCATTGCTTTACTTGAGCATACACTCCTCACTTCTAAGATTTAACAAGTGGTAACTATATAGAGTGAACTGAAAAAAAGACATGGGTCTTTTGATAGCAAACCTTTTACATCTTACATTCCAAGCATTTGAATGTGTACTACTTAAAGTAAAACTGCAAGTTGTATTTATATTATATAGAGCCAAAAGGAAGCATTCACGTTTGCCAACTTAATGAGAAGATTTTTCAAGGAATATCTCCAAAATGTACCGTTAGTAAACCCACACAACCCAAAGCAGGAGACAATTTTGGGATATCAATTTCAACAACGGTTTCGGCAAATATCATGGTGAATACGTATAGGCTACGTAAAAATACGTAAAAAAATACTATATATATATATATTATATTCAAATCAACCAAACAATAATGATTTTTAGTTGTAATAACCAACGTCCAACAACGGTACATATGATGAACATATAAATTATTCATTCAATAAACGTAAATCTGTTTATACGCACAGTCATATGCGCCGGTTCAAAAATATGTCTCAATATGTCTATCTCAAGTTAATTATGTCCCTGCATTTTCAAGTTTTATGGTGGTATTGCAAGGGCTATGAACCAATTTATGGAACCTCAATGTAGAAATACTTTTGTGGCAAATCATTGTTAATTTGCTTGACTTCAATCATTTCAATTTGACTAACCCTAACCCAATCTAGTTGTTAACGTCTTGTTTTCACGGGGATATATATATATAACATGAATACTTTAACAATTAAAGTCATGCTCGATAACTCGAATACAAGATTGTGGAAATTTGAACTACACACCGGGATTTTGTTTCAAATCAAACAACTTTGGTTTAACGTGGGAAAAGGATAAAAGAACCAAAATGCTAGGTATGTTGACATTAAAATTATTCAATGAACAAAAGAAAAGTACTTATTCTAAATTATTCTTACATAACTTATGATATTTTCTGGTAGTTCAATTTTAGAGATCAATGCCCTATGTACAGATGAGAAATATGTATATGATAAATTTGAAATCTGTATGTCACATTCTTCGAAAGCATCTCCTGCCGAGCGCTACTTGGTACGCCTGTACTCTGTAACTTGCGAGACTCAATTGCGAGACTCAATAAGCCCACGGTATAGATCAGGTAGTGTTTTATTGCCGACGTTCAAAACCATCACTGGTTGAACCTACAGTCCGGTGCACTTTATGTATGACTTAAAACCCAATCTAAGCACATGAATGCGACTAATAACCCGCTGCGCCCAATAAGGTCCGTAAAATACGTATATTAAACCTGGCTTAGCAGTATTTTAAATGTAACTCATTGGACATAACAAAAACAATCACAAAATCCACCGTTTTTGATTTTGTATTTAACATTCGAAAATCTATATGTAACGTTTGGAAATGCTTCGCGACCCACGTTGAATTAGCTTCGCGATCCACTGGTTACGCATTGTAACCGTCGTCACCCGTATTTAATAAAATATTGTATCTTGCGAAAATATTCTTTGAAATATCAAAAAAGCACCCGTGCCGTTTATTTATGCATTACACTACAGGATGTTCAATACGAAATAACGAACTTTTGTTTGTCTTGGATGGATCTGGATCCGTTTTAAAAAAAAATTTCCTGATTGTCAAGAACTGGGTAAAGACTATAACTAAAAAATTAAACATTGACAAAGGTGCAGTAAGAGTTGGAGTCGTTCAATATTCCGAATATGATAATACGTAAGTTTATATCATGATTTACCAATATTAATCTTTATGTTGATGACGATCCGTGCTTTTCTTGAATACTATAAGCTTTATAAAATCCAATATACAAAGCAGCAGTATAATGGTTATTGCATGGCGGAAGAATAAACAATACGTTTAATAATGCCCGAAAATTCTCTAGAGCAGTTGTTTTCAACCAGGGACGTATGGACACATAAACATTTCATTAGATTCTACTTCATGCTCAGCTTCAATTGCAAAGCATTGAATAACCCGGTTCCGAATCCGAGTAGACCGGAATTGCGACTCAAGCAATTCCAACTGCGTCTTCCGAATTTGAGAAAGTTGGATTTCCTACCTTATCCAAGTTTTAAAAACGAAAACACTGGCTTACTAATCCCATGCCATCAATAACGCCAGATTTTGACTTCACGACATTTTTTAGTTGACAAAGGCCATACATAATCCCAAAACAAAAAAATTATGGTGAAAATAGAGCTCTATTTTATTTTTTACTTCAGTTTAGATATTCAGAAGCAACCCCAAATAAAAACATATATTAAAATAGGACAGTACACGGACTACCAATCTTTTGCTGTGAGTAAAAATTTTCCTATTCAGTAGACATTTCAATTTCTTTAGATCTATAGTCCCGCATAATATCTTCTCATGATTGTACGCGGGAATATCCAGTTGTGGAATTAAAAATTTGGAAAACAGGATCTCGTTTTTATTGAACTCAATAACATCAGATCCTATCATTTCAAAAAATGTATATGTGCCCCTACGTAAGCTACATTAACATGACACGCTTCACATAAATATAAGACATAACTATCGGAACGCTAAAAATACCTCTAGACTTTAACTGTGGTACATGTGACCAGTTTGCTGCGGTCGAAACCCACTGCTGCTCATTTCGTTCGTAGACTTTATTTACATTAAACCAGTGGTACCCAACCTTATTTCAAGCAATCCAAATTTGAAAAAAATAATTTCTGTAAAATCTCGCGACTCAAGGATATGTTCAAATGGGCTACTAGGCAGTATACAGTATAATGATTATGCCTTGAATGGTCACAAAATTAACTGACTACCTAACGAGAATATCGGTCAGAGACCGAAGACTTATCGATCGAAAGTTAGGGGATCCCCCAAAACAGCGCTCTTACTCCGTAGTGACACCTTGTGTCCCATCACTAATTAATTAATACCTCGCTAATTATACGACATAATTCACCCAAAATCAATAGGCTTCTGGTACGACATATGATGGATGCACATGCAAAATGGAGCAGATTCAATCTCGCTTTCGTGAGATATCGCGTGCATCTAACAGACAGACAAACAGACAGACAAATACCTATCAACATACTTACCGATTAAAATCGATAAGTAATAACAGAAGATGCCAAGTTTTTACGCTGTGATACTTTCCACATTTAAAATTACCATAGAGCAACAAATAAGTCGCGACTAGGGCTGGATCTTTTCGAATACCTGATGATTTCAGAATCAAATCGAATATTTTTCCGAATCGAATCTTGAATACTTGGGAGATATATAATTGTATGTTACTTTCTTCTTGTATTGGGTCCTTCAGACACATAAATTACTGGAAACGATTGGTGAGCGTTCACACACAAAAAACACGTTTTCATCAATAACTCACTACAGAAAAGAGTCATTTGTCAGAATTGCGTTGCAAAAAAAATATGGTTACGATAAAAAAAAAAATTGAGAAATTTACCTCGACAAATGGCGGGGAGGAAAAAAACAAGATGGCGGCGATTCGAAATTTTGCTCTGAACCGATTCGGATAATTTAATATTCGATTTAAGCCCAGGCCTAGTTGCGACCCATAAGTTGGAGAACACTACATTAAACTATAGTAATGTCCATTGATGCCTTTTTTCATTCCATGGTTGCTTACACACCTTGAACGCAAAAAGTATTAACTAGATTGTTTTACAAACTGTGTAACGTTGTAATAATAATTGGGTATTTTCATTTACTATTTCCTTTTGGAAAACCAGTTGTTTTTCGAATTGGCAATTGGTTTTCTAAAACTGAGATAAAATTATTTGTAATACCGTATTACGATATGAACAAATACTGCATTATTTTAAATAATATTTGAAAAAAATTATCTCTTGGTGATTCGTAAGTGGCATTAACGGAAAACGATTTTATCAGTAGCCTGCAATAATCATGGTTTCAGCGACATAAAAACAATTTATTTTATGATCATATTTCTCCTCGTATCTCAATTGCTTTGTTTCTATAGGCTGCCATGGACGAGATACCTTTTTTATCTGGGCTCTCAACCCATACCGGTGAAGCCTTGAAGAAAGTTGTTTACGATTTTAAAAATACTGAACATTTCAAGGAAGCAAAACAAGTTATGGTTCTACTAACGGATGGAAAGTAATGAATTATATTTTATTTGGGGGTAAAGTACAGTACAAAAATGAAAATCGGTTGGACAGACTAGGTCAGAGGTTCTTAAACTGGGGGGGATGCTCACAGGGGGGCGCGAGAGGTCCCAAGATGGGATCGGAAATTTACATGTAACGGCTCTTGAAACGGTCTCCGCGTTCGTTAAAACCACCGGCTTTTTTGTGTTATAATAAATTTTTCTGTCTCGTAATAACTACAATAATTCAAAATATCTCTCTATTTTAATTCATTTGTGTTCCAAGGTAACTCGCGGTTGCGGCGACTCACGACAAAATAAACTCATTACCTATCTAAAATACCACGCCAATCCGCGGACATAATAAAGTGTGATCAACTGCCAGATTATATTTAGTTTTTATATATATTACACTCATGCGAATTCGTTGTCGTCATTAGAAAGATCAGGTATAATATCCCAAAAGGAAATTTAAATTAAGTACAATTAAAATACATGTAAAGTATATTAGTAGATGAAAAATACATATTCATCGAAACGAAATCCCCGCGGTACGGCTCCTGAGTCAGTCCTCGAGATTACGCCAGTCGTTAAAAGAGCCGACTTTTTCAACGGATATGTAATGGTTTTTCTGTTGAATAAAATATTCAATCCATGATCGATATACTTGCTGGTTGCTTTATTCATTTAATTGTGATAAATTAAATCTGCGATTGCGTCGATAAAATAAAAGCACCACTACTCCAAAATAACACGGAAATCCGCAACCATAAAAATGTCAATTACATATTGTTTTGATTTGTATTCTTGCCAATTTCACCAATATGAGCTGTCCCTGCAACTCCTAGTCCGCTCTATCGCAATGCCGCCCCTCGATTAATTTCAAGATATCACCGTTATAGATATTCCTAAGTCTGCGATCCCACGGAGTAAAATTTCTTTCAAGTCTGTGGTTTTAGAACACTACTGGTGTGCCGCACGCACATGGAGATTATGAGATTTTCAATGTCTAAGAAAGTGTTTTAAATCTGTCGCGGTCCACCCCAAAACAAAACTCATGGTGTTTTCCGTTTTATTTTTAGTATTTTATAATGCCACTTTTACAGTAAAGAAATTTTTACTTACGGATTCACTTCTTTATTCTATCTTTAGCATCTAGTCGCTGATGATTATATAATAAAAACTAACTCGGTTTCCTCAGAGATGTCATGGTTCCATTCGAGAACAAAAAAAGTAATTATAATTGTCTTCGCGGTATAAGAATATGTCGAGGGAATATGTCGGATGTAGGGAGAATAAACACCGAAATCAAGATTTTTAGGGCTTAAATAATGCTGAAATAACACGCCATACTGACGTAAACAATGGAGATTTAAACAAAATGCAATCGCAAACGCCTTAGCGACTTTATTTTTCAGCGTTCAAGGGCCGGGGAAACGTCCACATGCATAATAACTATTAAAAAATGAACTGATTTTAAATTTACATAAATTCATTTGCACTTCTCCATTTTGTTTAAAACGTTAGTCAAGCCAAGAAGTCAGTAATTGTTGCTTATTTTTTTAACACACAGTAAATAATTTTTGCATTGCTCAATAGTGATGAGGTAAACAATCTAGTGAAATTTTACGTGTCTTATGTAAACGTTTAAGCAGAAAATCGAACAAACATTCGAAATCTTTGCAGAAGAAAAAATGTACCATTTACATGTGAAAACATACTATATGAGGTGAAATTTAGAAATGCCATAAATTGGTTCATCATTCAAACTGGAAGAAAACTTTGAACACATTACAAAATACTATACTTACCAATCTGAGAATCAAAACAAAACTGAAAGCACAACCGAGTTGTTGACAAGCAGGTTCACGCCACGACGACAAAAAATGGCTGTAGCGAATTGGTAAAGTGTGTGCAATTTTACTGCAATAGAATAGTGCAAAGAACATATATATATTCATTGAATAGTGTGAAGTGTTTTTTTTTCACAACATTTTAGTGACAGATTTTCCATTGTTCAGCACGAAATGCTATTTTGCGAAGTGCTTTTTATTTCACTTTTTAAATAAAAAAATAAAAAAAAAAACATTAAAGCATAGGTTTATTGCTTGATTAGTTTTACTTAATAATTAGTTTGACTTTGCCAGGTATTGCAAACTGAGCGGAAAAACGAGAATGTATGATGACCAACCACTATTTGGCTTTATACATACGACAGTGAATGGCGAAGTTGTACTCCGAAGCGTTTTATGCCTAAACATTCTGAGCAATGACGCTATGAGACCAACACTGTTATAGCGCCATCTTAATATATGACAACCTGTCCATCACAAAAGCATTTTTTCAAAGCAAAAAGAGGGGGGGGCGCCAAGTTTGTAAAATTTTTCAAAGGGGGGCGCGGCTCAAAAAGTTTAAGAACCACTGGACTAGGTCAATTATTTCCATGTTTTAGCATGCATAGTCGTGCATAACCTGGTCTGAAATCAAAAGTAACAAAATTGGTGTCCCTGGTAGAGCGTTATAGCCCTAATCTGGCCCTTTAAACTTGATTTTTTACATTAAAACTGCTTTTCTATGTATTAGAACTCGCACGATAGCAAGTTTCCATTTATTTTCAAGATTTCTTATGGGGAAGTTGGTATGTTGGTACATGCACTGAATATTGCTTTATATCTCTTCAAGTTGTGTGTGATAAAATATACCAATTAACCAGAGTAGCAAATATTTGCTACTTTTATAAACTGTGATTTTATTCTTCACTCTTTGAGTAGTTTTTATATAATAATATGGGGACAAGTTTTAAGATTTCAAAAGTAAATATTGAATCATAAAATTGGAATTATTAAAGACTTAATAACGTGACATTGCGGCATAGAGTCTAAGAAAAACTCGTAGAATAACCTGAAATTCTTTTTTCTCAGAGCTTCCGATACAGAAAAATCAATTTCAGCAAATGCTAAAACATTACGGGATATGGGAGTAACAACCTACGCCGTTGGAGTTGGAAACTATGAAAGACGTGAACTGAGAGTAAACAATATTTTTGACAATCTATAAAGTGAATTTTTTGAAACAATATGTTGTTTTTTGTTATTCGCGAGTTTTCTTGGTACGTTTAAGGAATTAGAATGAATGAAACCGAATAACTGCATTATATCCGGATATGCCAAAAAGGTAGTTGTGGTTATTTTACTCTTAAGAATAATTGCTCCTAAAGTTTTAAAAAAATTTAATTAGAAGCGACACAATCATACTAGTAGTTTGGCATGTACCCGATGCAATATTTTTGACAGCTTCAATAACTCAAGCTGAAAATATCTCAAACTAGTTGGGTCGTCCAATGGCATTGTCGAAATTATGAACGAACTTTCCCACATATAGTAAATTGAACCTTTAAATTAAACCCTTCAAATACCCGAAGTTACAATGTAAAAACATTTTAATTTCAGTTAATTGCAAATGGTAATCCATTGAACGATACTGGCGTATTTAAAGCTAAAAACTTTGATGCACTTGATGCAATCGCAAATGAATTACAAAATGAAATTGATGAAAGTCTTGCTTTAGAAGGTGGGCAATATTTTCTTTCGGTGATTTGAATAAAGCTTTTCTTTAAAATTGAATAAACCAAGTCTTACTTACGATATCTTTTCAATAATGAAGGTTCGAATGGGGGACAAACAACCGCTGGTTATAAAATGGAATTCGGTGCAGTTGGTATTGTTGCAGCATACAGTACATTAAAACCGGAGATTCGAAGATTGCGTAATGATACAAGAACCAATTCGGTAACAATTATTTACTGATATTCAGTTATTAATTAAACTGAACAGGGTGTTGATACGGTATGGATGTTTCCTCGACCATTGAGCCCAGAATAATTCTCCCTATATCTTACTATTGCAAAAATTTAGCATGCTTATTTTGCGAGTGTTTTGGGAGTTGTAACTCACAATTGGATTTACATGCTCAAAACCATTCTTTTATTAAAATATACAACCACGTGCCGAGTACAGGTACGAATAGTAAATTTTAGTCTAGTCAATTGCAGCTTTTCTCTGACTAATTTTTGATTATTGTAAATAAACTAAAGCTCGTAGAAAGAAATAATGACAATTGAAATACTCCATTTACAACTAATTTTTGGCAACATAACTGAAAACTGACAAATAAAACAAACGCAAAACCAGGCAATGAATATCTGCGATCGAAGTGTCGTCTGAGTGGCTGCAAAATTACAATTGTTACGTCATGTTTGACTTTTTGTTGATTGGTCCTTGTTACGAAAAATAAACAAGGAAAAAGATGCTCGTAGAAACATCCATTACAAATATATGTATTGATATGTAGGATGTCCAACTTGCAGCCGTAACTATTGTATCGTGTTTATTTTTCCATGTTAACTATTTGTGTGAAGATGTGTGTGTGTGTGTGTGAAAACAGTATGTTTCTAGCTTGTGTGCTGTATGTTTGGTATGTATGTGTCAGTTTCTATACGCTCGCATGTTTGCTTGGGACGACGGCCGCGGTGTATAATACGAGATTTTAGGATGGGATACGGGAAAGACGACGAAGATAATTCAACTGCAAATATACACCTAGGTAAGTGTTTGCTATTCCGACGAAACAAAAGGATTTCCACTAAACATATTATATAATTTTCATAGGTCTGGGAAATGTGTAGATTTGCAGGAACATCAACAAAGACAAGTTAAATAAACAAAAATAAACGAACAACGGTGTTGGAAACGACAGCATAATTTATCCGGAAGAACCGATTTCATAACAAATCAATATTCAATCCTAGTGCTGCTATATGAGGATATCTCCAATTTTCAAGCATCTTTGTTCAATATAACAGACTATCAAGCTAACCTTTTATTTCATCCATGACATTGCATTAGCACGACATAAAGTCCATATTTTTGTATCTCTATTCTAATATGTTTTTCGAGACATGTGAAAAATGTCGTTTCTATTAATTGAAGTACAAAATAATAATATTTCACGTAATTTTTTGTTCTGTATTATTCCGGAGTTATTGCATCAACAATAAGCAATTTTCAATAGTCATAGCAACAACATTTCCCCTAAAATTTAGCTCAAAATGAATTGCATTTTTTAAAAATATTTTTAAGTGCCTTTTGAAAGAGAAAATATGATTTAGAATACTAATACGCCGTTGCTAAGCACAAAACTTAGTCGCCAAAAGAATCTTTCTCGTCTTTTGCTTTCAGTCTGAACAGAATAATGGTAATATCGTTTTGTCGGCTTTGAAGTCGTTCATTGTAGAAAAACTTGTAAGCATATAGTCATACTCTTTCACTGAAACTGCCAAGCCGGAATAGCCAAATAAAGTTTTATACGTGACATTAGCGAGATGCAACTTATCGTGAATCAAATAACCTTTGAACTTTGAAACGATCCTCATTTGGAACAAGCTTAATCGATCTACGTGATTAGTCGATTTATAGTGATTAGTTACCACTACACATAAATTGTTTGTTGACTGGTGTGGTTTTCGGATTGTGACCCCAGCATTGATTGGCAATAATTTTGTTTTGCGTTCGTTAAACTCAAACTGTCTATCTGCTGTCGACAGCCTTCGGCCGTAGTAAATAGACGATTGAAACACCCTATGAGTTTTATTGCAATTCTGACAATATACACAGAATACAATGCGCACACAGTTAGATCAATTCTTATCTGACTAACATTAAAAATATGGTAGAATATATTGGTTTCTACAGAGCAATTAAAATATAATCGAGAAACAGATTTTTACATTTACAATGAAAGAATAACGTGTTATTCCGGTTTTTGGGTGACTTTAGGTTTTCTACAATCAAACATTATTAAAAGCTCGAATTCGAACTTGAAAGTGCTCATCTGTAAGCTGATTTATGAATTTTGTCATGTACAGTGTCATTTTTTTTTTTTGGATAAATTGCTCACAGCAGTATAATGATGATGAAAGAGAGATCATTTTTGAGCATGATATTTAAATTCGTGCAAAAATATGCAAATCGTTTCCACGGCATGTTCGTAGTATGTTTTTGTACAATGATGTTGCCTTGACAAATTAAGCTAATCACATTTTGGTCGTGTTGAACATGAAGTATTTCAAATGCCACCCAATGTCGAATTTTCATTTCAATCAAAACACAGCACCAATAAAAACATCACGTTATTTTTGTGAGTCAAAGAAAAAGCATTCGAAAATAATGGAATACCAAATCTTTTATGGGCCAGTTACATAGGTTCCGCGGGTCGAACTGTGGCCCGCGAGGCATGCCGTAGAGGGCACATTTGCCCAAGAATCTGATCTTACAAAATTAATATTTGTGCGAATATGCGTTCTTGCAAAACAACTATTTTCGTTTATTCGCACAAAACAACGTTCTCAGTATAGAAAATTTCACTTATGAGCAACATGCAGAAGTTCGTCTTGCAAAACCCAGATAAACGTGTTCGAAAACATCCATTCCCGCCATACTAGAATCATGTTGGTCGTTGAATTAAGCTAAAAGTAATCTTAAGAAATTTTACTGTTACATTCAATAAAAACATCGTTGGCGTAAAACTGGAATTTAGTCAAGTTTGTTTTCAAAAACATCCTATACAAATTCTTCTCGCACAAGACTGTTTTTGCAAACTACTTTTTCGTGGGTCTTATGTATCGAAGTATGAGTTCACGTGTGACACTGACTGAAAATCTATTGGGCTACTACAAGGGGGTCTTAAACTCGCGGCCCGCGGGCCAATTGCGGCCCGCAGGACGATAGTTTGCGGCCCCCGCCTTGGTATGAAAGTTTAATGTTAGTGCGGCCCGTAAGTCACTCAGCTCAGTTAGAATGATTGATGCATTTAGTATATGATCAGGACAAGTAGAGCAAAACAAAATATATTATAATCTATCCCCCAAAAGGAATATGCGGTACGGTAACCTACTAGTACCGTACCTAATATTCGATGGACCTTTGACACCTAAGAAAATTTTCTTATACTTTACCATTGCAAATTCTTGGTTTTCATTTTAGAGGTGGCTTCGCGAGTTGAAGCCTATCAACTGGGGTATATGTTTCGCGTCATCATTTTGATTCAAAACATTCAACAACCTGTTTTTCAACAGTACCGCTAGAGAAGTTTAACCTAGTCTATTACAGCTATTTCCAGACTAATTTTTGATTATGGCAATTAAGCTACGACGCCCAAGCAATCAGAATGTTAATTGAGCTCTTTGATACATACTTGAATTTCGGAAACACAACCCAAGACTAAAAAATAGCATGCAAAAACGAGGTAATGTTTACAAGCATGCCTGAAAATCTTTCTGAGTGACAAAGGACTGAGCGTTTGCGACAAAGTCTATTGTTACGTCAATTTTTGCGTCTTGCTGATTGGCCCATGTTACGGAATAAACATGGAAGTAGATGCTCGGGGAAAGGTCCATCACGGAATTACTTACATTTATGTTTTTGACATGTTTTGCGTATAGAAAAACATTTAACTTTTTAAGTTTAATGCTTTTATTGTGAAAAACCGGATGCGGCACGGACTCACTAAGGCTCCGTTTCGGCGGCCCCCAGGTAAATTGAGTTTGAGACCCCCGGGCTAATAGAATATTGTACTTTTGTTTTGTATATTGTCGCCAAACTTGAATGTAGCGGCCACTGGAAATTATTATGAGGATGAGGCTGGAAGCAGACAGATTCAATTACCAGGGAAGTTGTACAATAGAAGCACTCAGTTCTCGAGTTTAAACGGAACTGATGATAATAAAATGAATGAACCATGTCATTAAACTCATTTGGCGAGTGGTATCACATAGCATAACTTATTGTTAAATATATACCCATCGTTCAGAGTTGTTTTGCACAGTCAGGAAAATGGAGGTACTTGACGCTAGCATGAATCCTATTATAAATTTCGCCAAATATTGGAACGGAAACCATGAATCATGTCATTTCCAACTTATTAAAATAAAGAAAAATAGAAGTTTGAATCCAAATTTGTGGGCGAGTTACTGACTCAACAGTCGTTGCCACAACTTCGTCATGCATTTGGCATTGTGTAACTCTAAATCATTCTTCCTTGCGTAATAGCATTTTTAAAATTTGCTTCGCTATTATATTGTTTGGTTTTTGATCAGCAATTCCCGAAGGCATATGTGAAGGCGGAGCGATTTATATTTTTGAAAATAAAATATATATCAATAGTCTTTTACACCTAAAGAAATATAGTGTGTAAATTGTTTTAGAAAAAAAAACGTACTGGATATAAGAATCTATACAGAACCTATGACAGAAAACGCAAAAATGCTGCTCCATATATTAGTGTACGGAATTATACTACTGGCTACAAATCTAGACGTATATGGGTTCAACTTGGCCTCAACTGACGAAACAACACAATATATGGTATCACCTGTTGTTGCACAATTTGGTATCGATTCATCACTTCAACTACCCACCAACGTGAACAGTTCTTTCTATGGATACGACTTCAAAGTAATTGTCAATAGCGGTGGAAATATCAGGTAAATGTATTTTAAGTTAGATTGATCAACGCGTCCATCGAAGCGGTGAGCCGTTGAAACTTTGTTAGGTTAGGTTACAAACACACACTTCAGATCAGGGATTCTAAACGTCCATTCTCTCATTTATTCCTGGATAAACTTCAATGTGGATCTCTTATTTGAAAATTTAACATCATATCAGGACCAAGTTACTCGTTACCCCTATTAACAGCCTCGTTACAGATGATCTAAAAATAATCTTGTAAGAATATTTTATGAGAAAGTAATGGTTGATATATCGTCTAATATTGTGTTTTGTAAAGATAAATATTTCAACGATTTCATTCTTTGCGTTTCATTTTAGCATGTTGATCGGATCTCCAAAATTGATAGATCCTGCCTCTATAAATTTGCAGATATCTGGAAGCACAAACAAAACGGAACAAATTGGTTAGTTATATCATAATGACGAAAAAAACTTTTCTTTTTTGAGACCTATATTCACGTTTGTGAAAAATATTTTACGTGTGGTTGGACGATTACGTCTTTGTAAAAATACACCCAAGGTTTGCCTTGAGCTAAATGTGAGTTCTACTATATTGTGAGATCTAACACTGTATATATAGCGTGAGATCTGACTCAGGATGTGTAGAAAAGGGGATAAGAGATATAGTGCTATACTCACTTGAGGGTTAGGGTTAGGGTTGATAATATTTTCCTCACATATATAACCGACGAATATAATTGATAATGGGAAAATAATATTCAATGGTAACGGTAAACTATCCATATCGAGTTTTTGCTAAATATTCGGAAAAAATATATTTTCACCAAGAACTTTTGTATAAATGTGATTCCACGAGTGACCGTTATCCCATAATATATATTATGGTTGATTAACGTTTACGCCAGAGGTTCCCAAACCAGGGATCGCGACCCCAAATTGGGTCGGAGTGATAAGTAGGACGTAGGGTTGCAAACAGGTCGTGGGGTCGCTGAGGTATGGTAGAGGAAGGATCATCTAAGATTTGACAAACCGTGTTAAATTCAGCAGTTTGTACCATGGCTTACTGTAAAACAGGCTCATAAGCATTGCTCTATGCTTAAGCTATAGAAAATGTACGTGCTTATTGTGACATCACTGTTTGGTTTTATCTTATTTTATTAGTACCACCACATGACCAAACTCAAAAGTCCAGTGGAAGAAATTTTAAACTAAAGTTTCATTAAAAATATATATATTGACCTGGGGTCGCACTGGGCATTTGAAAGTTGTCTTTGGGGTCGTCCTGAAAAAAACTTGGGAACCCCTGGTTTGCGCCGATGACTTATATGGTAGCGCATTGTTTTATTTGGGCACATACACCTCCTATCTAAGACTTAACAAGTAGAAACTGTGTGGAACTGAATAAGACTCTGATCTCTCGATATGAAACCTCAGATTTTATTTGACAAGTTTTACATCTTACATTTCCTGCATATTAATATGTACTATTTAAAGTAGAAATTCAATTTGTAGTTATATTATAGAGCCAAAAGGAAGCGTTCACGTTTGCCAACTTAACGAGACGATTTTTCAATGGATATCACCAAAATGTACAGTTAGTAAACCCACAAAGCCCAAAGCAGGAGACAATTTCGGAATATCAATATCGACAACGGTTTCGGCGAATATTACGGTAAAATATACGAAACATTCATCATATATATATATATATATATATATATTATATTTATTCAAACAGATCAAATAATAATGTATTTTAATTTGGGCTTACCAATGTCCAACAATGGAATGTAAATCTGTTTATACGCAAAATCACATGCACCGGTTCAAAAAAATGTCTCAACTGTCCCAAATGTTAATTATGTCCCTGTATTTTCGAGTTTTATCGTCAAGTATAATATCAATTGGTGGTATTGCAAAAGCTATGAACCAATTTATGGAACGTTTGCTTACGCTTGGATATAGAAAACTTTTTGTGACCCACCATTGTTAGTTAATTCGCTTGACTACAATCATTTCAATTTGACTAAACTTACCCCAATCTCAGTTGTTAACGCCTGGTTTTCATGGGGGTATAAATATAACATGAATACTTTAACATTTAAAGTCATGCTCGATAACTCGAATGCAAGATTGTGGAATTTTGAGCTACACACCAGGATTTTGTTTCAAGTCCAACAATTTTGGTTTAACGTGGGAAAAGGATCAAAGAACCCAAATGCTTGGTAGGTTTACATTAAAATTATTCAATGAACAAACGACGAGTACTTATTCTAAATTATTCTCACTTAATGTATGATATTTTTCTGGTAATTTCAATTTTAGAGATCAATGCCCTATGTACAGATCAAAAAGTAAGCCTTCCGCATTTGCGTACTTGGCACAATGGTGTTCTCGTTATAACCTCCGCGCTTGACTAATATTAATTTTAGCATCGCTTGTAGTCAAAATCTATTTCATAATACATTCGAGGTTCATACGCTAATGACCGTTTTGGTACACTTCCGTGCTCGCTTTGATATACCGTCGTCACACATATATATAATTTAAAATTTTGCAATTCAAGTTACTTTGAAATAACAAAAAGCATCCGTGTCGTTTATTTATGCATTACAGAATGTCCGAGAGGAAATGTTGAACTTCTATTTGTCTTGGATGGTTCTGGATCCGTTGGAGAACAAAATTTCCAGATAGTCAAGAACTGGGTAAAGACTATAACCAAAAAATTAGACATTGACAAAGGCGCAGTAAAAGTTGGAGTCGTTCAATATTCAAATTATGATAATACGTAAGTTTATGCTAATACTATAAAGTTTGTAAAAACAATCTTACAGTCTTACAATGCCGTATAAAGGTTATTGCATAATGGGAATAACCAGTGTTTGAAATTTTAGGGGGGGTGTTCACCCCCCCCCCCCCCCCCCCCCTATAGGGGGTGGACACCCCCCCTAAAATTTCAAACACCCCCCCTAATTTTGAGGTGCGATTTCACACTTCATTTCCTAACTCAAGTATAATTGTATTCAAATATAACGAGTATGGCATATTTATCAGTGTAGATGAGGGGTTCTAAACCGCAGTCTGCGGGCCAATTACGGCCGGCGTGACGATTTAAAATGGCCCGCCGAACTTGAGTGAAGTTCTGAAGGAATACAACATTATGCGCCATTATGATCAATTGACGCGCGTATTTCAAAATTTAATTCATTGCTTAATTCATACAAAAGTCAAACACACATGTTCAAAAAAATGTGAAATGTGTAACAAAACAAGCCATAAGTAGCCATTCATACAATGCCAGATGAGCAAGTAACTTCATTAGTCACTATCAGTTGCAAATTACTTGTTGAAACCTAGTAGTATATATTTACGGTTGAAAGCCGTGCTTGTTATCTATTCCCCGGGAATTCTATCAGCTAAATATTATAATTATTGATTTCATTACATAACAAACTGCGATGTTAGGTGTATCTAAAATCAAGCTTAGAGCCTATTTTGGTGCCTATTTCTCAAAATTTTCTCCAGCCCCAGCCGTGTCGTCCCGCACTTTTCCTCGCTCCCCTTTTCTGGCCCTACAATTTTATTCTGCTGTGGATTTTGGCTCGCCGTCAATCAACTTGGGGGGCCCCTCATGTACATCGTTTCTTAAATATTATTTACCACCCCCCTAAATTTCGAAACACCCCCCCTAAAATAAAAAGCTGGGGAACATACTGGGAATAACAGACACCTTTAACAATGACGGATACTCTATAGAACAGAGATTTTCAGCCATGTTCCGTCAGCCAATGAGCATCAGCACAGTCCAGGGGTTCACATACAAATCGGAACGTCTGTATTGTAATATTGTTTTAAATATAATCAGATATACGGGTTTAATATAAACATATAAGAAGTATAGTTCACTAGCGTTCCGTGAAAGATGAAAACGTGTTCCGTTTCAAATTCTCATTTCACATATTTGATTGGCACATTATATGATAACAAATATATTCAAATATACGTATAACCAATGGAACAGGAATTCCTCTAGCCTCTGAAATGTTTACTGGGTATCGATCGCTACACTAAGAAGGAGGAAACCGCCGCTCTGGAAAGTTAATTTCGTAATTCTGTCTTCAATTGATTTATTTCATTTTTCCACCATTTTCTTACTCATTTTAAATTATTTAACTATTTATTTTTTCAAAGAAAATTAAATCAAGATTAAATCAAAATAGTTTTAATCCTTCTGGGAAAGCTTTGCAGGAGCTGACTGCTCACCACTCCACTACTTAAAATCGGTCTTTCAGTAAATTATTGTCTATATCGGTTATGGACATATAAATAGTTGATTCCACTTCATACTTGGCTTTGAATTCAAAGCATTCAGAACTCGGTTCCGAATCCGAGTAAACCTGAATTATGACTGCGGCCACGCAAAATTGAAATTACAAAAAATTATGGTATTCACGTGCCTATTTCTATATATATATACTTCAATTCAATCGAAATTTCGGACTCTGTCTCCCGAATTTAAAAAATCTGAATTTCCTACTTAATTTAAGATTTGACTAAGGCCATGCCATACATTATTCCAAAACGAAAAAATTATGGTAAACATATGTTTTATTTTATTTATCACTTCAGTCTAGACATTCAGAAGCAACCCCAAATTAAAACACATATCAAAATAGGAGAGTACACCGACTACCAATCTTTTGCTGTGAGTAACTTGTTTTTTCCCATTCCATTTACTATTTCCTTATTAAAGGAGTTTTTCAAATTGCCAATCGGTTTCTAGCGAATCCGAAGACTACCATGAAATTTTTAATTATGTATTACGATATGAACAAATACTGAATTGGACACGGAGTGAACCTATAGGTCGTTTTGTTATTACGTTGTTGTTGTTCTTGCTCTTTATTATGGACTTTTATCGTTGTTTTTGATTACTGAACCAATTGCTTCGAAATGTTTAGTTGTTAAAGATTGTAAGTTTTTGTGAGCTTCAATGGATTCGTGTTTTGTGTGCTATGACGTCATTAACGCGACATTTTAGCAACATAAAAACAATTTATTTTATGATCATTTTTCTCTTCGTAACTCAATTGCTTTGTTGCTGTAGGCTGCCATGAAAACGATACAAATATTTAAATCCTTTACCTATACCGGTAAAGCCTTGGAGAAAGTTATTTACGATTTTGAAGAAACGGAACATTTCAAGGGAAAAACAGCAAAGCAAGTTATGGTTCTACTAACGGATGGAAAGTAATTATTTATGTTGTATTCGGGGCAAAGTACAGTCCAAAAATAAGTTTGGAAATATGTTGATCAGTTATGCACTCACTAGTTCAATGTTGCGAGAATATAGACACTATATTAGCAACTACATTAGTTTGAGATATAGACAGGGTTACCATCTATCTACAGCCAAAAATAAGCACGGGTGTCAAAGGTTATATTTGAGAGTGGGGGGTACTTAACAACGGCAGAAGCGCAGTATGCAAATGAAAAAGAAATCATACACGAGTGTCTTCCGCACTGCCAATTTTTTATCCACGCTTTTTTTTATCAGAAGTTGCTTCGTACAAGAAAGCGATTGAAATGGCGCGAAGTCACAACCACACGCAACTTCTAAAACAGTGGTTCCCAGCCGAGAGCGCTTGGCTCACCAAGAGAGCCACGTAGCAGTTGGAGAAGGCCACCATTCCAGGCGCAAAACTGATTTTACGTTTAACTTTACAAGAAAACTCCCCGTTATTCCTAGTTTCATTGCTTGATAAAGTTATTTCACAGGTTGTTTTAAACACAATGGGATGAGGAATCTACCAACCAAAGTAACACTCTAATTACCATTGGAATGATAAACAATGGGGCCATGAGTGCTAAACGCCTCTAGAAGAGGGCCACACTGCTCTGAAGTCTCCATACATTGAGTTCCCGCAATGATTTTTGCAAATTTCTTGTGGCCGCAAACCCTACCGTTAACAGAAAAAGTTTGCGCTGAGAGTTAGTTAGCATGTCCGAGACATGAGGTCACGGTGTAACGTGGATAATTCATAGCTCACAATAGTAACGCAGCGATAACTATAAACATTGTCTCATGTTTCCATGGAAGCTGTGTACGTAAACATGGACGGGTCATCCATGTTTCTTAGACAAAACAGGCACGCAACTCAAAAATAAGCACTTTTCTTAGAAATAAGCACATCGTTACTTTATAAGACGCAAGCTAGAAAATAGGCACAAATCTTAGAAATAAGCACGGTATGGTAATCCTGGATATAGAGTTAGATATTATATATTTAACATTTAGTTTCTTTCTGTGATCAGTTTCTTTCATTGTGAACGAAAAAAAGTAATATATACAATATTCCCATGTTTTAGCATGCGTAGTCGTGCATAACCTGGTTACGATTGGTGTCTATGGTAAACCGTTATGGCCATTCCAACTATTTTTTTGCACAAAAATTGCTTGTCTGCGTATTAAAACTCGTACGATAGCAAGTTTACGTTTATTTTCGTGATTTTTTACGTTTATTATCTCTATCTTAGCTGGTACATGTACTCAATAATGATTCAATTTTTCCATTGTTTCAATGCCAGAAATAGGAGCAATACTTATTTATTTATACAAAAGATGCTTACAATTTGAGATTGAGTTAAGTTGATAAAGTTTGAAGCAAAACGTTATCATTATTAACAGTGATTGTATACTTCCCTATAAGTAGTTTTTTAATATTGAAAAAAAGTCTTACGATTTTGAAAGTCCATAATGAGATCATTAAATACTCAATAACGTAACATTACAGCTTAAGGGCTAAGAAAAATTCGCAAAATAACTTGAAATTTCTTTTTCCCCCAGAGCTAACGATCCAGAGTCGATTTCGTCAAATGCCGAAACATTACGGGATATGGGAGTAACAACTTACGCTGTTGGAGTTGGACACTATAAAAGAAGTGAACTAAGAGTAAATATCATTTGCAGATTTTATAAAGTGGAGATTTTCAGAATATTTTTGACAGCCGCAATAATTCAAGCTGAAATATCTTTAACTAGCTGGGTCGTCCAATCGCATTGACGAAAAAATGAACATATATATATATATATATATATATATATCCTAAGTGATTCAAGAGTCCTGCTACACACTAACACAAATATATTTCTGTAACGTTTCGTCTGACCAAGGTCAGACTTCTTCAGACATACATAGTTTAACTATAACACGAAAAGCAGTTACATGCAGTGATGAGCTGGGAAAATCGTAATAACCGGAACGCAGCTAATTTGTGAAAATGTAATATATATTTACAACACGGCGAGGACGCTGCCACAAATTTTTGTCTGTTCTGAGATAGAGCCGAAGGACTACAATGAAATATGAAAAAATTATCTGGTATATGTCTGTTCAAAATTACAAGAATATTTATACCAATTCAATACGAATGTGTTTATTAGAAAGGTATATGATGAAATTTCACGGGGTCAAAGGTCGGCGAAACATCCATTACACGTTATTGCTGTGCACTAAATATTTGTCTGCTGAAAAGTAAAATAAATTATGGCGTAACAAAACATAAGTTAATATGTAAGTTTACAAGATGTACTAGAACTAGACTTTCTATGACACAATTTTATTTCAACAACCGGAACGCAAATGCAATAATATGTCTAACAACCGGAACGCCGTTCCGGTGAGTTCCGGCTACAGCTCATCACTGGTTACATGCATATTTAAACAATCAGTTTAAAATTATGGGAGTCGCGCATGTTAAATAATCAATAAAATCGGCGAATTTCTTGATTAAATAACAGCGGGTTGCCGAAATAAATGTCATTGATGAGATCTCTCTCTTTGTTTTATATTCAACAATTGAAGTCCAAATTAAGCAATGGTGTTTTGTTTCTAAGTATTGTATAATACAGACCAGAAAAGTTGTCTGTCTGTGTGTCAAATGTAATATAGTGATATTTTGTCTGTTATTAGCATATCTGGCCATGCATGATCCAATTCTGAGAACAAAAAATATATTAGGTACAAGAATTGATTCAAACAATGAATGAAAATTGATAAATGATTATTGATTATTTAACATGCGTGACTCCCATAATTTTAAACTGATTGTTTAAATATGCATGTAACTGCTTTTCGTGTTATAGTTGAATTATGTATGTCTGAAGAAGTCTGACCTTGGTCAGACGAAACGCTACAGAAATATATTTGTGTCAGTGTGCAGCAAGACTCTTGAATCACTTGGGATTGTTATCTCTACTCTTGCTACAGCATCCTTGCAATATATGCATACGGATCCACCGGCACAAAAGCATAGAAGAATAATAAGTAGTTAGTCTCGCAGAAACCAAATAATCAGCGCAAGTATATATATATTTATATAGTCAAATTAAATATTTGAATTAAACTCTCGAAATAATTAAATACCTTATAATGGTTAGTCATTTTAATTTCAGTTAATTGCAAATGGTAATTCATCGGACGATACTCGCGTATTTATAGCTACAAACTTCGATGGACTCGATGCAATCGCAAATGACTTAGAAAATGAGATTGGAAGTCTTGCTTTAGAAGGTGGGCAATGTTTCCTTTTAGTGTATTGAAAATGCCTTTCTTTAAAATTGAATATATCAAGCCTCACTTACGGTATTTTTTTTTAATATTAAAGGTTCGAGTGTGGGACAAACAACAGCTGAATATAAAATGGAATTCGGGGCAATGGGTATTGTTGCAGTATACAGTACATTGAAACCGGAGATTCGAAGACTGCATAATAATACTTTAACCAGTTCGGTAAAAATTGTTTACTGCTATTTTTTTATTAAACTGAGCAGGGTGTTGGTACAGTATGGCAGGGTTTTCCAAACTGGGGTCCGCAGACCCCATTACTGCACAGGGGATTCGCAACGATATGGAAAGAGTTATCTTATTGAATTGCGCTAGTCTGTCAGTCAGTATTTAACGTTGATATGTTTGATTCAGACTTTCATGAGTTTTATTTCATCAAAGAAAACAGCATCCTTTCTCGTTGGTTAGCCACAGAAGTTGATACGACATAGGATGGGGGTCCGTCAAAAACAAGATTCACAAACAGTGATCCGCGACCCAAAAAGTTTGGGAAACACTGCAGTATATATGGTAGCCGATATAGATGTTTCCTCGACCCTTGAGCCCAGAAAAATCACGCTATACTTTACTATTGAAAAATTTCAGATGCCTATTTTGCGAGTGTTTCAGAGAGTTGGGTCTTACAGCAATTTGATTTAACCACGTGCGCATACAGGTGCTACACTACTAGTTAATTTTAGCCTAGTCTATCACAGCTTTTTCGGACTAATTTTTGATTATGGTAATTAAACTAAAACTAATCAGAAGACATAATGACAATAAAAAACCTCATTTGCTGCTAATTTTTGCAACACAGATGGAAACTGACAAATAACAAACAAACGGCGAAAACGAGGCAATGTTTACGATCGTGCTTGAATATCTATCCGGGTCGAAGTGACTATAATTATGGTGGGTAATCGATGTTCGGGGAAACATCCATTACACATAGATGTATTGATATATTGCTATGGTCGATATCGACTACGTTGGCAAAAGCATTTACAGATCCGACAAGTTTCAAAAAATGACAGTTCAGAAGTCGCAATTGTGGTCTCCACGTGCCTTGGTCGATATCGGTCAAAACAGTAATATCGATACATCTTCAGTATGCAATGGTGTGAATTGTGAGTGTGTATGAATGGAAGATATCGCGATATTTGGAATCTATAATGAAACAATTGGTTCGGTGTTTGTGTTCTGTTTAAGCGAAATGCGTGTCGGTGTCGCGTTGAGTGATAGTTTCTCGCTATGCTTATACAGCCAAAGGAATTAAATACGCAGCCCATCGAATCATATGTAGCCTATATACTGCAGGAGTGAGTAAGGTTGTTAGATAAAACATCAAAATTTGGTTTTAGTTTGGTTGTGGCAGCATCCGGCGGGCCAGATTGAATTACAAAACGGGCCGGATTTGGCACGCGGGCCGTAGTATACCCCTGTATATAAGATTCTTTCTAATGATTGTCGGTATATAGGCATACATGTTGTGTTGTATGCATAGTGATTTATGGCAATATCATATTCTTCGCTGCATAAGCATGTTACGTTACTAATCCTTCCGGCCGTAAAAGCGCAATGATATAGGGACATAAATGTCCTAACAACAATCGGGAATTTTTCGAGGTGGAAAAAGGTAGGTTTCAACTCTGACTATACTAATTATTTTTAATTTCAATTTGATCCAATTTTCTTATACCGTAGGTGTTTTTACAAATACTTAAATTATTGTAGATATATATAATATATTGTATATATATATAGCTCAGAAGAATTTTGTAAGTGATAACCGTATTTTTAAAATTTTGTTTTTTGACTTCGATTTGAGAAAATCGCCTCCTTACAGACGGATTATTTTGTTTATAAGCTTTTTACAGGCCTGTTTCACAACTTCGGTTGCGACCTGTATGGTAGACCATCTATGTTCCGTTACCGAAAAGTGTACCATCTCACAGTTCCGAGGCACGGTATATTATTACATATCAAAGGATTTAATGACAAATGCAGATCACCATCGGATTGGGGGAATATCATTGAGTTGAAATGCTGCATTTAGGATAGGATTAACATATTTAACCCGATACGACGGCTTAATCATATGGCGAACTACGGCTCCTCGTCCGGTTACCAGTCCATGTCGGATATGGGTTTAGTTAGCCAGCATGGACTTGATGGCGAAAGAAGCCGTCATCGACTAGCGGTTACGTGCCGCATGGCTGAGCTCATCTATTTTAAACATTTTTTCTGCATTTGCTATTTCATTAGACGTAGTCTACACCGCATTCTCGCGTCTAAAGTATGATGGAATTCCATTTTTTGTGTGTGTAATCCAAAATTGAAAACGTTTCTCATTTAGCAAGAGATAAGGTATACGGTACGTTTGATAGAGTAGAAGCTCATCGCACTGAAGTTGCACGAACATACTGACAGATCCTTACAGACAAAGACGTTGAATAAATGCTGGACAAACTAGTTTCATGTAATATCGATCATCTGCAAAAACTTTACGACAACCAGATATCCAAGTCGCTTTTCAGCTTCGGATGATGATGGGCGTATCATAACAATTCCTACATCTTTGCTTGCAACGTTAGATGACAACCAGGAGCGCAGGAGTTTATTTCCAAAAAATATGGATACACGAACAACAATGTATTCTCTGGATCCGCAAGCCTGTTATACTTGGGTGTAATTTAACCTATATTAATAATTTTAAATTGCTCATTTCTTATTTAATCCCATTTGCTTTTTTCTATGATACCGCACTATACTAATCCATGATAAATAAGCTTATAAACAGCATTAACACGAGGGTCGTGAGCCTAGATGACCCTTATCGGTCCTACACACCTACCCACAGTCGCGCACTAAGAAATTCCTAGTGATGGACTGTTGAAATATTTTTTGCATTGTATTAATGTATTAAGAAAAAATTATTCATTTTTTTTTATTTCATTGTATCTTAGTCTTTTTTACTGAATAATTGATTTTATGTCTTTGTGAGCCTTAATTAGTTTTAATACTTTTGGGTGAGCGGACACGTACCAGGCTACTTATTGTATCGATATCTTCCTATCTAAAATCTGTACGCTTCAAACCTTACTTGAGGTTTTGTTTGCTCTCTCTTTGCAGATTCTATAATGAGTTTTATTTATTTTGTTTTTATCAATTACCGGTACTTTATAGTCTATTATTCTGCTTATGAGGTCGAAATAAACTTATAGTACTTATGTTTATAATAGTGTTGACTTTGGTTATGTGATATAAATCTCGCTCTCTCTCTGTGACATATCAACAAAAGCAAGAAGTTTGTATATACATAACTATAACAATTAACAGACAATCAATAAGTAAAATATGTGTTTATTATAAAACATATATGTTAAGAAAAGTTAGTCAAAAACCTGGAAGATAATTAAAAAATAAATAATTTAATTACTGAAATATTTATTGAAAATTGAAAAATGTATTATATGAAATTAAATCATGGCGGAGTCACAGATTAAAAATGACGTGAACAAAGAACACTACACTCAGATATATCCCATTTAGTGGAATTGTCACATTTTTTTCGACTTCAAGCGCTAGGTTTCCTTTGTTGTACATATCGTTCCTGACCTCGTTCAAAGACAATTTTGACTCCTGGCTCCTGTAATTATTTGGCGTTAACAGTACTTGCAATGAGTGAATAATAAATTCGATACAAAATATAAACCTGCAGCTTTTTAATTTGCCATAGCACAGCTGTAAAACTCATGGAGAGAATACAAGCGAGCAATGCTAAAATATGTGGATAGGTACAGAAGCCCAGTAAAATTCCAACGACAGTTGAATGTTTGGTGAATTGTACTGAATGAATGCCATAGAGTTGCAGCAAATGCTGTGTGGAGGTATTGTTATATAAAACATCCCTGTAGGACTCGGTGATAAGATGAATTGAAAATATAAGTAGTAGCGTACTAGATACTTCTTCAACTATGTTTCTGAAAATTGGAATTGATTTGTTCATTAGTTGTGGAGAAAAGACTAAATTTTTGATGATTTGGGTCTGGAAAGTCAATTTTTCAAATTCCACAAAGATGTGGCCACTCAATATTCATATTACTTACAATGAATTCAAGTTTGTCTAGTTCGTCCTGCAGTAGTTTCTCATATTCCTTTTTACGTGATCCAAAAGACCATGCGTCCAATGTTAGTTCTTTATTTACATTTGGTAACAAGTTTAGTAAAATGTCTATTTCTGCTTGCGTTGTTATTCTCGGCTTCATAAAATACAGACCAAAACTGAGCAAGTCAATCTGGGATAAAAATTGTGGTTCTTTATCAACAGAATACAAATTCAGTAATTAGTAAAAAATTCTTTTGGAAGCAAATTTCAAACTTTGATACCAGTCTGTTATTAACCTATATCTGCATATGAGAATACGAAAATTTAAAAAAGCAATAGATCTTTTCATGTCTGTATAGAGTATTGACAGAAAAGAAATTTCATAGTAATAGACCACAAGTACATTAAGACAAAGATATAGACTGAGCTAGATCCCATGAATTTATTATTTACTTCTATAAAGACTTCTGTATGTGTATGATTATACCAAAAAGTTCCAGTAATTAAGATGCTTTGAATAGAAGTTTTCCCCTTGAATATGTTCCAAATGACCAGTTCTGCGTTATGGGTGGGTATGCTGATATTGTTATGATTAACTTCATATGCCACAACAACTACCATTCAATATGGCGTTTCTTTTATCCATTTTCACAATCGTTTACAAACCATGGTGGAAGAGTTTCTAATTACAAATTGTACCTTTGCTTTCTTCATGCCTTCTGCAAATTTTGCAAGAGTTTTCTCTTCTAATTCACATTGACGAACAAACAAAGTTTTCAATTTACATTTTCCAACGAGTTCCCCAATGTAATAAAGACCCCATTCTCCCATATTCCGATTTCTGCTCACGTTCAGTTTCGTAAGCTGTCGCAAAAAATCATCAAAATGGATTAAAAACCAAAACACTAATATTTCCCTCTTATGTGGGAGATTTTCACCATAACAGCGAAGAGCAGACACAACCTCTTATTTTTGCAGGGAAGAATATCACATGGATAAACACTACATGTATGTTAAAGGGAAGTGAAACAAAATATACATAGCGCTGAAAATAAAATATTTTGAATCCATATACAAATTATTTTCACACTAATGTATTTGAGTAGTTTATTACATTTGAACCGATGTAAAATCTGAGTGAAATCAATTCTCTCTGAAATTATGATTTTATTGTAACATTCCTACTCTGTACTTCCTTGCATAACAGTTTGAATCCTAATTTTTCAAACTTCAATAAAATAAAAAGTCAATGGGTTACACTAAAATCATCCAATGGGGCAAAAAGAGTCTCTAATAAAGTACTAAAAAGCATCACAAAAATATTAGAATACACAAACAAAGAAGTATCATATAAAAGTTTCCAAAACAAGTTTTTGGTGAACAAAAACAATTTCATATATAAACATCTAAAACAATTTTACCATTGGTAGGCAGGCAAGGCATACGAGAGCTATATGCAACGAAATGGAAGCATATGATATGAACTATTGCTGCTACAAAGTAAAAATCATTCACTCAGCATACAAAAAAGCAAGATATATACATTGTACTCAATTAACCCCATATACCACCCAACCCCCGTACTGTGTAGCATTGTATAACTTGAAAGAATATATTGGATATATTTTGAAAGCACTATGTTCATATTTTTTTTTTTTGCATCACGGAAATTTGCATTACTGAAAATCAGGGTCACAACTCACAACAGCCATTTAGAAATAAAGAAGATTGATATCTGGGTGAACACTAAAGTGACAAGAGCTACAGAGATTATAACGAATTAGTGTTGAATTGTATGTTAATAATTTCCAATTGATGTGAAACTCATAAGGTATGCTATTTTGTCTCCATATATAGCTTAGTCTAATTCAATTTGAATATCTAATACAATGCAACATGCTCGGAGATTGTACATAGTTCTACATCAGGGCTGGTAAATGAGTATAATATTTTTGCACCTTTTCAGTATTTACTGCATCTTTAAAACTTCTGATTTCCTGTGGTGATGGATCACATTCACTAACATCAAGCTCTTTCGTTTCACACATGTCAGAAATTTGTCCCAGTGCCTTGAAACCATCAACCCCTAAATTATCGTTACCACTTATGTCGATTCTGTGTAATTTTGCTGGTCCCTGTAATACATTGAGAGGTGAAGACTAGTCGAATTAAAACAGAGAAATGTAAGTAAATATTGAACGAAAACTCTCTGGTTGTCAAGATATGTCAATGATACATCCAATGAAAAAAATTTTATCAACAGGTTTTGGCCAGACAAATCTTTACAAAATAAGTGTAAAGATGTTGAAGCATTGGCCTAACATAGCAGGTTAAAAATTTCAAGTTCAAATCATTTGCCCATCGCCATCACATCACTCAAAGTAAAACAAATTTAGTAGGCCAGTGTTCTCTCAACCTATGTGTAGCGACCAAAAACTGCACCAAAACTGCAAATTTTCTTAGGTCTTTTTTTCCACAAAAACCTAAATATTGCTAATATCATTTTCTCGAAAATTTGATGGTACAGGATCGCAAGAATCTACGAGAACAATTTAAAAAAAAAAAATTGGGTCGTTCGAAAGAAGTTTGGAACCACTGGGGTAGGCTATGCCGAGCCGGAAACATATCTTTACTTCCAATTAGTAGCTGCTTGTACAAAGCCCTATCAGGAGTCAAAGACATCTAAAAACGTGCTATGCATGCTCAGAATAGCTGTTTTGATTCTCGCTACAATATCATTAAAATTATTGCAAGTTCCCTTTTCAAAATACAGATGGAATGAGCATCGATTAGTGCACTCTACTACAATGAACCAAGATATTATTCACCCGACAACTAGTTCTATTAGATATACACATTGATTGGATCACAATTACCCTGTGGATTTAATTGTGCTCTCCTCACAATTTTTACATTTTTGATATGCCGGTATGTGCAAAAGTTTCCTCTTTATGAATACTATTATAAAAGGAGTGAAAAAATATATAGAACACTTACATTTTCACCATGTAAGGAGGCTTTTAAACTGCTCATCTGATTACTGGTCAAGTTGCAGTATCCCATGACCAGATCATTTGTTGCACAATTTCGAATAATTTCACCCACTTGATTCAGGCAACTTACATCCATATTGCTGTTTCGACTCAAGTCAAATCTATCTATCTATATAAAAAATAAAATTTTGAGGTAAGTGTTTATACACTATAAGATATAATCTACATATTTATCCTTGCCGAGTAGAAGCCGATAAGTAGGCTTAATCATATGGCAAACCATGGCTTCTCGTCCAGTTACCAGTTCATGTATGGGATTGATTAGCTAGATATTTGTTGTCAGAAGCATGGTCTTGATGGTGCAGGAAGCCACCACCGGCCAGTGGTTACGTGAGCCACCCCCGCGGCGGCGAGGAGTCCATCAATCCTCTTGCACCAAACTATCCCAGTGTGAAATTGGAACCTGGAACCCACGCATGGTAATTGAAGGTGCGATGGTGAGCATATTCCTAACTAATTTGCGAGACAGAAGAGAGTAGGGTTGGTAATTAACAAGCTCAAAGCATGTGAGTTTCGGTGGCAATGCTGAAGACGGTCTGAAAAATCAACAAAGCGTGCATACACAAATCTGGGAGTCTATAGAAAAATGTCTTCATAACGCCACATACTCGGGGGTGCCGTTGGGCTTGGTACCTTTACCCGCAAGCCCTGGGACAATTTTCGATAACCATCCGGGTTCCTCGCTAGGCAGCATACAACACAGGTCAGCAACCTTTAGCATTAAAAGAGCCATCTGCATCATTTCAGTCAAACTCAAACATACTCGGAGCAGCAACATCATATCAAAACACTCGGAAAACCAGTCATGATGCAATTTTCTAGTTCCTACAAAAAAGAAGCCGAATAAATCATAAATGATACAATAATGCAGTTTACGTTGAAATGAAAAGAACTTGGAAATGAAGGAGCCAATAAACTCATTGAAACTGTTTTGATAGCAAACGTGGTTGGTAACCACACATGAGGCTGTAGTTGCCCAGATTAGTGGACCATGTTATATACCATTGGTTCTCAAACTGGGGTCCGCGGGCCCTTAGGAGTCCGCGAAGCGATTTTAGGAGGGCCGCGAGACAACTTTAACCTCGGCACAGAAGCACTTTGATTTGGAGTAAAATTTTGTCATGCTTTTACAGTGTTTCTCCAAAGCACGACATGCTCTACCGAAGACATTATTACGTATAACAAACGTTGGTGAACATGTCAAGTACCGTAAATCAGAGCGTATTGTTTATGGAAGGCATATGCGTCTGGTTGTAAATTTTCACGAGGTAATTTAATTGCTTGATATACCACGTTGCTATTTGCTTCCATTTATTTAGTGGGCCGCGAGTAATCAGCAAAATTGAAAGAGGATCGTTATGCATAATTTTTCAAAAAGTTTGAGAACCACTGTTATATACCATCTTCTCAAATAGAATGAAAAACAAAATCTATCTTCATTATCAAAATTCTATCCTCACCGTCCACTGGCCGAGAGATAATTTAAGTTCTGCAAGCTTTTCTTTCGTCAATGAGCAAGATGTAACAGCAAGAGTTTTTGCTTTGAAGGTTTTAGTGATTTCGCCAATTATTTTCCATCCATTTGGTTGTATATCTGGTGTCAGAAACACGTTTACCATCTGGATCTGTTAACAATACATTTATATTATCATATTTATTACAAAAATAAATAAATAAATATTATATTAAAGGTAATACACAAAATGAATGATTCTGTATAGGATGATCAGACTAAGTCAGCGTTCCTTCGTGATAATCTGCATAAGCTGAATTATTCTCTATAACATACTAAATACAAAAGATAATGCTCAAATATTAAGACATCAGTTTTCACTTTGGTGCCTGTAGCACAGAGTTCATCAGATGAGCAATCCTAAATAAAAAAGTACTTTTTCTGGAATAACAGAAATAAAGAAGCAAAATTTTAGTAAAAATATTGGGTCGCAAATGATTAAAACTAAATAAAATAACAAGTAAAAGTAATGGCCTTTTTTAACGACTTTTTTCCATCTTCAAGTGCAAACATTAAAATTGATAGGCATATTAGTTGCGTTGTGGCGCTTATCAAAACGAAACATTCGTGTCCAATAAATATAAAACAAACCTCTTGTTCCGGAATAGCTTGCATAATTTGTTCAAGTTGATTCTCAGTTAACTCACATTCAGATATTTTGAACTCTCCTATTTTGATACATTGGTTCAATAACTGGCAAAGGTTTGTTAAAACCGAATTTCTTTCATATTCTGTTAAACTTACGTTGACACTGTCCTGTAAAATACCGGTTACATATTTTAATTGCTACTCCAAAATCAATGCTATGTATATGCTCGTTTTACCGCCCGATCTTGATTAAGGGCCCGTTTGAATAGCTGCCCGTGTGAACAGATTACAGAACATAAAAATAAATAAGGGCCGGTGCTCGAATACCCGCCCGATGTAAAAGCTGATCTTTCAGTGGTAGAGAACAATAAGAAATAAGAAGCGCTTTTGTCACAACGCTGTTGAATTTTAAGCGCTGGTAGATAACACTCAGGCCTTAGGTGTCCAAAAGTCAAAATTTTTGTTATTCTAATTCATTCTATTTCGTTATATAATTTTACTTTAAAAATACCAAGCGCCCGTGCTTGAATAAGGGCCGGTTTGAATAAGGGTCCGGTTAGTGAGTTTGGTTAGCCATCCCGGGCTACAAAACAAGCAAATATGGTATTTATAAGAGCTTTGGGAGTATGCATGTAAATTTGCCAAGTAATTGTGATTGATTTAGAAGTAGAGGCTGCATTATGGAATGTTGCCAGTACACACAGTGACTTGATGGTGGAGGAAGCTGTGATCACCGACCAGTGGTTTATGTGAAATACCCTATACGGCGGAATAAAGTCCCGCAATCCTTTTGCACATAATTATCCTCCACAAGATTTGAACCCACACACAGTGATCAGAGGTGCGATGGCAAGCGTTTACTGTAATGGAACACCTTTGTTGTATTAACCAGCATAAAATTTTAGAAATGTCGGATATAATAATTGTTCTCTATTCTGGGTGATAATTATGCTCAGAATGGTAGTTCAAATAGCAAATCTGGGAACTCTTCACATATAATTTACCTCTTATGAAGACCAAAAATTAAAAAATTTAAATTATTTCTTTTAAATTAATTTTTGATGTTTTGAGTTAATACCCCTACCTTTGTATTTGCTTCGATAATCAATTCTTCTAATGTTGGAAAGTGATGTTGTGTGTTGTAGTCGCTGAAATCAAGTATTTTCTGGTCTTGTAGCATGGTTTTAATTTGCTGTTTTTCTGTAGCACCTTGAACTGTTACATCATGAACATCTAAAGCAGCATTCTGTTGAAATATAAATATTTATAAGTAAAGTTTCAGTAATTTGTACTACGAGTTTTAGAGGAAAATTTGGTAATACCTTCGCAGTCTTTTCATCAAAATCTAATATGTCACTTTGTCTGAAACCACACTGCCAATAATTCAATCCTTGGCCACGAATGCAGATTTTGTGCAAGTAATACATGCTGTTTTTAAGAAGACTGCGATTGAAGCACACATCAAACACTGTAATCTAAAAAAGCAATCAAAAGTATTAACGAGAAGATATAAGAGTGATATGGCACGACAGTATTTATCATATATATTATTTGATATTGCTTCAAGTAGTTACAATGGTCAGAACTATCTCTCTATAAAGTAAAGTATTATAATGAACTATGTGTGTGGGACAATACAAACCTAGAATTACCCATCCAAATAGATAATGGCATATACCGTAATTATAGAAGTTTGTCATTGACAAAAATTCAAACCAAAAATAAGCAAGAATATTATTTTGAATTGAAGATTTGTTTGAATTGCAAACCAGTCAAACTGATTTTAACTCAGATACTGTTCTCTTTTTATACAATGCTTTTTCATGCCATCACTCCGAACAATGCTCTATACAATCTACTATTCTTTAGAAAAAACTGAATCTTACCAGTTTGGAATTGCCCAACCAATTTACACCCTGGGTGAGGTGGGGGGAAGGGATTTAGCCTGAGACGTGTAATCTTCGATGCCAACACCCTTTTATGTTCAACGCTTTATTCACTAGGCCAGCGATTCCCAAATTTTTTTTTCATGTGGCGCCAAATTATCAGGGGGCATTACTCGCAGAGCACTTACACGAAAAAATATGCTGCTCTTCAATAAATCTTAATAATATCTTTTGGGAACCCCTGCTCTTGGCCATCGTGTTGCCAAATTTTGAAAGCATATAACATGCAAGTACATTCAACATTTTAATTACAAAAAAGTTTACCTCTACATCTGAATCTCCAAGTTCATCTGATAAAACTTTGAGGTCATAAGTATTCAATTGACAATTGTCCAACGCCATTATACTGAGTCGATCACAATGATAGGTAACGCTTCCCAATGCATGAAGATCACTTGTTGTGAGCGGAATTCCAGATAAGTAGATTTTTTTTATATTTGTCTTAGCCAACTGCACAATTCTTTCGTCAGCTCCACACTCACAAAGACAGATCAAAATGTTGAGCATTCTCATTGGTGGAATATTTCCACCATTCAAATCCTTACGTAGAGAATCCAGCAAATACTCTTGCTTTGTTTCAATGATATAGTCATCTTAATAATAAGTATTGAATATGCTAACGAAAATCACACCTTCAGACTTTTGGTTAGATTGAAATGCTCTTAGGTCACCAACAAAATAAATGGAAGTCAACCATTTCAAAGTACTATAATGAATCTCAATTAAGAATTTGGCTGAATCGGGTTATAAATTTAACCTTATTGACATCAAAATACTCCAATGGAAAATACGTTACCGGTCTCCATAAATGTTATATATTTTGTATACATTAGTTATTGAGACATAAATCACCTCTGTACACTCTCTTGATAAAGGGAAAGGGAAGCTTATAGAAATCTTGCCAATTTTACAAAATATGTATTCTCACCTCTATAGTGATTCTTGAGAAAACTCATTTTTGCTGTACTTTTGTTAAACAGTAACCCACATAACATTTGTCGAACAACACCATATTTGGAAGTGTGGATCTGTTTGTCAATCAGTTCTTTGTACTGCAACAAATTAAGATTAGCCATTTCACATGCCGCAAGGAGTTCCTGAATGGTCTGATGAACAAAGAAAAATGAATAATCCTCTTCCAATAAATTCTGATCACACACAATGTTTTTGTCTGGAGTCGGAACGCTGATGACAAGATCTTTGATATCATCAATATCTAAATCATGTTTCTCAAAATCATACTTAGTGAAAACCACTATTCCTCTTTCCATGCCATCAAGAGAAAGTGCCATAAGATTTTGCATTATTTTGTCAACATCCTTTCTAACCTTGAGGTGTTTAGATCGTATATGATTTTTTAGTATTGTCATAATGAGCCCTGAAAGATTTTCAGGTATATCTTCTCCATTGATGTACAAGATAATAACAAATATTAGAAATAACGGTGTCGAGCAAAGAAGCATCAGTTTGAGTGATTTTTTTTAACATAGATTCCAAAATGATACCTCCTTTATCTTTACCAATGTCTTTCACCAGTGATATAATAGAATTTCGTGAAAGACCTCTAAGAGCAATTGTTGAATCTGGCCTTATTTCTTTAGGTAATCTGTTTATGCCGTATTCTCTGGATGCCAACAATATTTTGCAGTAGGGAAATAGATTTCCACATAGAATATTGTAGATAATAACTGGTACAGGAGCTTTATCATCATAGTTAATCATATTGTGATGCATATCTTCACTCAGCACCCAAGGGGCAGTATCCAAACCATCTAATACCAAAAATGATTTCTTCTGATTTTCAGGATTCTTGAGCCATTCAAATCCATATTTGACGGCTTCGCCGCTAGCCACATTGAATATAGCATAAAGTAATTCTTTTGGAGTATACTTTCCATTTTTTAAAGACCAATCTTTAATATTGATAACATGGATAAATTTCACTTCTTTCATCAATTCAATTTTACCCTCCAATACTAAAAGACAATAACGTTTGAGAAGCGTTGTTTTCCCACTTCCTGCCCCACCAACAAAAACAATATATCTTCCATTGGAATGTACAGTTTCAAGATGAACAGAGATTTCTTTTTTCTTTTCTTTTGCTGTGAGTCTACCTCTTTCATTTATGACTGAATATTCGACTTCATCCAATGCGCAGCCACCACGAAAGAAATTAGTTTTGGATAATTCTGGGGCAACTTCATTAATTGGCTCCAGGAATTCATTTCCATACCCTTTCATAATGGATGGTTTGGCAAGCCATCGAGATCTTGCATTCACGCCATCAATGAACTCTTTCTCCAATGTTTCTAGAGTGAGAAGTATTATTAGAATTTATAGAAATTTGTTGGTGACAAATATGACAAAAAATAACGAAGCTTGAAGTGTGCTAAAAGTGAAAAAGACAAGACCTCAATCCATTGATATAACGGTGTGAGTGGGAAGTATGAGACAAGTGAGTCCATGTAATAACTTGATTTATAAAGCTGTGAGAATGCAATTCAGTCAGCGGTTCCCCATACTTTCAAAACTGAGTTTTTGCAACACATATCACGTCCATTAAATAAATTTAGACAAGCTTTATAATACACAGACATTCATTAAGCTACCTATGCAATACAGGAGGTCATTTTTGAGAACATGAATGATTGCAACAGCCAGTTTTATTTCTATATCTCATTGTTTATTTTTATTATCGATATTTATATTATTTGATTGTCAAGTTCTGAATACGGTTAGATAAAAGTAATTTTTAGGCAAGTGGATTGTATTTTTTGACACACTGAAAAGTATTTTGCAATGCACAATATTCAAGATTATGGCTGTTGATTACCGTATTTTGTACAACAAAAAGCGTTTCTTTCATACTTTATTTAGTTTCAATTAGACCTTATCGGCAGAATAAATCCTTCAATTGCATGATAAAAAAAGGATAATATTGTACCTCTTCGTTCTTTACTAGGTCGACCATCTGGAAGAACAAAGTTTGCTACGTCTATGTTAGCATGCTCAAAATGATTAGCGACTCCCACCAGGCCTTGCCCTGACAAAAAAAGAAGCAGATTACCACCAAACTATATCTGTATATATACCCTGTATACAGAGAAAGATTACCGGTACTGTACGTCAAAATGTTGCCATAATGCATAATGCAGTAATGTTATTAAAGCTTTTTGTCAGTCCTAAAACATCCAAACTTGGCTATATAATACTGCTATAAATACAAACTGACCGATGGATATGTTAAAGATATAAAACTTTTTGCTAAGCATTTTCATTCTTGACACTAAATTTAATATGATAGTCCAGTACCGGTAGTCCAAATAGCATGATTTAAATCTTCACCTGGGGGTTCACCGGCACCTTCGGTGTGATTCATGATTTAAACTCAGATATGACAGTATCAAATTGCTGTATTGATCAGAGCTGAAGGCAAATGCACATGAAAATGGCCATGTCAATTTGTTGATCACATTACTAGCTGGGATACTTACAAGTTAAAACTTAAATAAACCACTTAACAGAGAATATTAATACATAATATTTCAAGTTGTCACATTATTTTAATAGCACAAGTACCGGTATCGGGTCGCATGTAGTTTTGTACCTAACGTACATCTACAAGTGCAGTTTCAAGTATTTTGTGGCGTCTACAGCTGCCGCAAAACCATGGCGGGATTTCCAAACCACGGCCACTAAGACCAAACCCACGGCGACTGACTTTTTAGCTGCCACAAACCAATAGCGAGCTGCCGTGGTTACGGCAGCAAATCGAATACCACCAATTTTACTGCCGTAACCACGGCAGGTCGGCTGTAATAGCAGGGCTGCCCCTAATCTGCTGATGGTGATAAATATTTGGTGAGTTGGAATGTTTTTCTTATGGATACAGTTTGGATGGATTTGGGGTTAGGGTTAGGGTTTAAGTAGATATAATTTCGCATGATAAACTAAAATATGGTACATGAATTTGTAAATATACCGGTAATAGCGCCATAAAACCATGGCAGGAGACGGCGTGGTACGTTCGTGGCAGGAGCTGCCATGAAGTGGTAAGAACTGCGCCTCTACATCTAGTAGGCGACTAGGCGTAGTCAGTTCTTTATCGTCGGCGCCGATGCCATTTTGGGCGATCGTAGTTTGTATGTATGTTTATTCGTCTTCGTAAAAGCAATATAAAAGAGTACCGGTAAGTAATTATAAATACTGAAGACGGGATGTATGCACAAGACCATATTGGCCTAAAACACAAATGCGCGGCATACACCCTTAGTAGTATTTGGCAAGCTCTATGACGTGATTGTGACGTCGTAGTGACGTAATTTTTGGATGGCGTAGTCAGGCGAGGGTTGTTACGCTACCCCTACTAGAAGTACGTTAGGTACGAAACTACACGAGACCCCAAGTATCAGATTCAGAGATTTATTTTCGTCATGCAAAAAACAATGCGCGATATGAAAAATGAATAAATAATATAATGTGAAAAAATGACAAACAGATATCGGCTTGTTGCAGTTGACGCGGGGTCGCGGAAAGACTCGGATAGTCATCTAGTCAGCGACACCTTGCAGCTGAAATTAAGCAGGAAATATAGCAAACAGGACACTCAATATTACACATTAACTTAATTGGAAACTATCATACAGAAATGGAAGGACAAAAAAATAAATGAAACTCAATAATACACATTGGCTTAATTGTACACAATCGTCCAAAAAAGGAAAAACAAAAAGAATTCGAGTAACTACGGGAAGCCACAGACACCGTGGAATATCAAACCTTTACTCAATTAAATACAGTCATATAAAAAAAAAGAATATAAAAAAGCAACGAAAAATTCGAAATAAACCACTGGGTGCCACAATGAAGTTGAAATGAAAAAAATACTTTAAATTTAAACACAATACAGAGAAAGAACCTCAACAAATCGAAAATACGCCACGGAAGTCACGACGTATCCATGTTTAATTTCAAACAAGTGATTTTTTAGCAAGCAATTACAGAAATACCTACTGGATTATGCAATGCATACACATTGCTTGCTAATATTTTCTCACAACGTTAAATGGATACGAGTAGTTTACATCCTTATCTGTTTACTTTTTGTGTTGTCTATGTCAGAGAACCGAAATAAAATGATTGATTAGAAATCTACTTGAAGAGGACTGACGAGTACCAATAACAATTTTTTCACGTGCAATCCTAACCCTCACGTGACCACACCATCCAAAAATGACGATCGCTGACGTTAGTCAGTTCCAAAGTGACTATTTGGTCAGTTCTTTATCGTCGGCGCAGATGTCATTTCGGGCAATCGTATGAGTATTTAGTAGGATAGGATAGGATTTACATATTTATCCCGGGGGAGAGGAAAACCGATAAGACGGCTTATCCATATGACGAACCACGGCCTCTCGTCCGGTTACCATTCCAAGTCGGGTAAGGGATTAGTTAAATTGTTTGTTTTCGGAAGCATGGACTTGGTGGTGGAGGAAGCCGTAACCGACCAGCGGTTACGTGAACCATCCAACGACAGCGAGGACTGAAGAGTCCAGCAATCATCTCGCACATAACCATCCCTGCATGGGATTCGAACCTGCGAACCCACGCAGAGTAATTAGAGGTGCGGTGGCGAGCGTATTCCTAACGCTTAGCCCGTTGAGCCACACCGCTGCGCTTTTGGGCCACACCGCCGTGCCTAATAAGGAATTGGCACCAGTGAGGAGTAGTAGTAGGCTCTATGCTGTGTTTTGTGACGTCGTAGTGACGTAACTTTTGGATTGCGTAGTCAGGTGAGGGTTAGGATTGACATGTCAAAAATTGTCATGCTACGCCTACTAGAACTACGTTATGTACGAAACTACACCAGACCTTGTAGGGGTCCAACAGATAGATCTGAGTGAAAATTAAAAAAAACAATATCAAGTTTGCAAAAAAAAACTCCAAGAAATACCGGAGATGTAAGATATGGGCATTTTAGTGCGTTCTAGTCGTCTAATTTTCTCCATAAGGTTATCACTAGGCAGTTTAAAAACTGTGACCGCGAGTAGCCACAAGTTATATCTCCGTCATTTTCGAGGGGAATCGGGTGAAATTTGGAACAAGGAGCATCAGAGGAAAGGGGAAGAAAATGAGACTTGTTTTACAAAATTACACCACACTATGCAAATTCGCGCTTTTGGGTAATTAATTATCAACCATTTTTGCACTATCCTGGACTAAGATCCACTGGTGATTTATCATATAAACCACCTCATCGCCTTTCTTTTTCTCACTATAAATATTTACATCATATTCTCTTGAAGGTGACCTTTGACACACAGGGATTCGTTAAAGAATTGCTCATATTTAATAATTTTACTCCGATTTTCAATAAATATGTGGCAAACAAAACACAGAATAAGATATTTAAGAAATTTATAAAAAGAAGAGAGCAATGCTCAAATATATGGACACTCAGAACAATTCCCCAAAAATCATATGCGGTGACTTACCAGTAGGCCTACCTGTATAAATAAACAAAGCACCACATCACAGTAATCAAACAGACAAAAACACGGTGGTCGCAAATTCTGAAATTGGTTGACAAAGATATTATTGACGTATAAAATGCGCACTCCACTCCCCTTTAAATGTAAAAAAGCGAAACCTTCAAAGATGGTTAAAGGAAACACAACTCCAGCAACTCTACCAAGTTTCATCTTTTTATCTCTTATATTTGTATGGATTTTCAAGCTTTTGACAGCTACATGAGCTACGAGTTAGATCAGTGTCACCGCGCTGTGTTACAGTACCAAAACTTCTCTATCTTTAAAAACATTGGGCTTCTAATTGCATTTCTGACCGTCTATATTTTAAGAACATGGTTATTTCGAACAAAACTCGTCAAATTATAAACAAAGCACCACATCACAGCAATAAAACAGACAAAATATATCGACGTATTGGAAATGCGCACATTCCTATTCCCCCTCCTACCTGTAATGCCGGACGCTCCTTATTTGCAAAACCAACTTATTCGATTTATGACCGTATTATAACAGCAGATACCACAGCGAAGCATTTCGACCACTGTCTATAGATATATTCACACCAAGCGAAGCAGTACAGTACCGGTACGGTTTACCGTACAAATATATATTCACACCAAGCGAAGCAGTGAAGTAGACTACGGTTTACCGTTCCTCTAGACCAGGGGTGGCCAACCTTTCACATACCATGCGCCACGTTTTAAACATAATGTTTCAGATGAGCCGAAATCTCTTGTATTCTCACGCCTAATGTCCGCTTCTTGTTGAAATTATATAAATTTATAATACACACACATATATACACACGTATATGTAGTTTTTACAACTTACAAGTTCACATGAATAAAAATTAAGCAAAGAAGTATAATGAATAAAACTGATCAATTTTATTTAAGTACCGCCTTCATGAGACTTTTGCTGCTGTTTTACTTTCGCCAGTTTTTTTATTCTTGGAGTTAAGTTTGTTACTGAGAGGAGCAGTGAATTTACTCCAGGCTTTATCGAGATTAGTACTTGCGTCACAGCAAGCGATTTTACGCTTCGCTTTTGTTGACAACGGTCATTTGAAGTTTGGGGGCTCCCGAAGTTTGGATGAAAAAGGTGGTATTTAGGGGTCATTTTCAGCATGTTGTGGGTAGATTTATAATAAATTTTTTAGAGTTGAACAATTCAACTGGTTCAATGGTTATTGGGAGATATTTGGGAAATCTGGACAATGGAAAATCCATGTTTCAAGCTGATAAATGACGATTTTCTATTTTTCCAGAAGTTCTGAACTTTTTACTTCAGTAGGGAAAAATAGTAAATTTTACTAATTTTTGCTAAAAGTCTATAATGAATGTCATAAAGTCCGTCCAAAAGCTAACGTCGATAATCGCCTGTTGTTTCTAATTCCAACAAGCCAAAAGTGGGCGACGTGGAGTAGGGAGAATAGATTTTAGGTACAATCAAAAGTCACCATGTAAATCGCAAAAAAACGGCTTGGCGTGGAGAAGCCAAGTGCAATTAACAATTTTGGCATGAAAAGGGTTAAAGATGCACTGCGCCACCTCTAATCATGCAATGCGCCACGTTTGGCGCATGCGCCACGTTTGGCGCATGCGCCATAGGTTGGCCACCCCTGCTCTAGACCATTAAACCAGTTGCCTATTTCTATATTCCGAGGGCGCAGAAATCCGATAGGATGTCTCAATCATTATCGAACCCAATACGAGCACTCACATTAGGAATCCACGCCGCTCGGTAACAAACATAATATAGACGCAACGCACGGCTAGTAAAGTAAAGTTTATTTCGATTTTCCGTAATACTAAAACAAATATATAGGCAACGCAAGTCAACACACACACATATAGCCTTCGGGAAAGTAGGCAAAATCTAAAACTCTTCGAGACCTGATTATGCTAGGGCTACCAGCCGTCCCGGGAATGGCCGGGACAATCCCGGATTTGATGTCTGGCGTCCCGGGATTTGCTGACAACCATGGCGTCCTGATGGCGCAACAAAACCTCCATGTTGACTTTCCCATTAGAATAGTAGACACACACAGTTTCACAGTACAACAGGC